TCTCTCTCTCTCTCTCTCTCTCTCTCTCTCTCTCTCTCTCATTTTGTTTTTTGAGACAAAGTCTCACTATGTACCCAGGCTAGCTTTGAACTGATGACTTTAGCCTTTTCAAGAATTTTGAAAAGAGCCAAGCATGGTGGCACATACCTTTAGTCCCAGCACTTGGGAGGCAGAGGCAGGTGGATCTCTGTGAGTTCAAGCCCAGCCTGGTCTACATAGTGAGTTCCAGGACAGCTGGGACTATAGAGAGACCCTGTTTCAAAAAGAGCAAAAAAAAAGAATCTTGAAAAGAGTGACATGTTGGGGCTGGAGAGATGGCTCAGTGGTTAAGAGCATTGACTGCTCTTGCAGAGGACCTGAGTTCAATTCCTATCACCCATATGGCAACTGTCCTTAACTTTAGTTCCAGGAGATCAGATGCTGCCTTCTGGCCTCTGTGGGAATTGCATGCATGGGTATACTTAAATACATGCAGGCAAAACACTCATATACATAAAATAAAAATAAATATTTTTTTAAAAAGAGTGAACTGCTTGGATTAATTTAAAATGAGTTATAGTTTTTTAAAATATTTTATTTATTATTTTTATTCTATGTGTATGAGTGTATTGTCTGCATGTATGTGAATGTACCCGTGTTTTGCAGTGCCGAGGAGGTCAGAGAGGGGGTTGGATTCCACTGGAACTGGAGCTGAGGATGGTCCGTAGCCGCCATGTGGGTGCTGGAAATCGAACCTGGGTCCCCTGCAAGAGCAGTCAGTGAGTGCTTCACCAAGCTCTCATTTGCTGATGCCACTAAATCTGTCTTTACGATGACTCTCCTTTTAGAGGACTCCTGAGGAGTGCTAGGTGAATACACATGTTCATGTTGTCATCCTGAATTGAAAGGTGCTAAAGTGATTTTTGTGGGGGAGGAAGGTGGGGGTTTAGACGGTCTTCCCCATAGCCCAAGCTGACCTGGAACTCTATGTACATCAGACTGGCTTTGATCTCACAGAGTTCTACCTGCCTCTGCCTCCTGTCTGTGCTGGGATTAAAGGTGTGTGCCACCATACCTGGCTGGCTGTTAAAGTGATGAAAAGATTTTGATTTTTTTTTTTTTTTTTTTTTCTGTCATTTTGAGACAGGGTCTCCCTGTAGCCCCAGCCAATCTCTATGTTGACCAGGTTGGCCTTGAACTCAAAGAGATCCGCCTGCCTCTGCCTCCCAAGTGCTGGGACTAAAAGATTGTGCTACTATGCCCAGCTACGTTTCAAATTCTTTAAAGATAATCTGCCTCCTGTTTAGGACAGCATCATATTGACCCCGAAGAGTTGCTGTTTTGAAGAAACAAGCATATGTATCCTAACTAAAGACTGTTCAACATCTTAGAATCCAGGAGCTGATGTCTGATGCTCAGCAAGAAGCCGGTCGGATCCCTCGAACAATAGAATGTGAACTTGTTCATGACCTTGTAGATAGCTGTGTTCCAGGAGATACAGTGACTGTTACTGGGATTGTTAAAGTCTCAAATGCTGAGGAAGGTATGTTGTAACTCTTTCTTTATGACTGTCTCTCGGTGGTGATTTTTCTCTTTATAAAATACTTCTGCATGTCAAATAATTTAGGAAATTCTTCATTTTTCATGTTAGATGAAATGTTCCCTTTAAAATAAAGGTTTAGGCAGCTGTGGTGACTGATGCCTATGATTCCAGTGCTTGGGAGGTTGTGGTGGAAGGATTACCACCAGTTTAAGGCCATCTTAGGTTACATAGTGATTTCCAGACCAGTCCTGGCTACAGAGTGAGACCTTGTCTCTGAAAAGCTAAAAATAAAAGTAAATAAACATTTGTTTGTAGCTGTGACTTTCTTTAACACTCTAGTGGAGTCATTGTAGGAAAAATGAAAATAACAGTTACTGCCATTTAATACTTTGAATTTACAGGTTCTCGAAATAAGAACGACAAATGCATGTTCCTTTTGTCCATTGAGGCAAATTCTATTTGCAATAGCAAAGGACAGAAAGCAAAGGCTTCAGAGGATGGCTGTAAGCGTGGAACATTGATGGAGTTCTCACTTAAAGACCTTTATGCGGTCCAGGAAATCCAAGCTGAAGAAAACTTGTTTAAGCTCATTGTCAAGTATGTATTAAGTTACCCAAGGCTTTGTTATGTATATGCATGTCAGGGTGCTCTTGGCTACCAGAAGCAAAAACTAGTCAAAATGGTCAGCAAACTTGAGTCCCTGGGCCAAATCCAGCTCACCACCTAGCCTGTGAATGGTTTTTATATTTTTGAATGGTTGAAAAAATGAAGCGTACTCATGACCCATAAAATTATATGAAATTCAGGTTTTAGTGTCCATAAACCAAGCTTTATTGGAACAGAGACACACTCAGTCACATTTATAATGTCTTTGGCTGATTTTGTACTGTGGTGTGAGAAGCAAGTGGTAGCTACAAAGAATATATGTGACAAATACATGCTTGTGCTTAGCCTCTTACAGAAAAACAGTGACAATCTAGTTTGAGCAAGACTGTCTCACACAAATTTGTTATGTGGTTATTATTATACACTTATAATTAACATGGTATACTATTGGTACTTCTGACAGTTACTTTGATAATTTTGAAGAAATGGAGGCTATCAAGAAACTAATAGGTGCATGATACCTGGGAGATGAAAGAATGGAGATTTTCCAGTTCTTTGGGAAAAATGGATCTTGTCATGCTTTCCTATTTATTTATTTATTTGAATGTGTATGAGTGTTTTGCCTGCATGTATGTAAGTGCATCTGTGTCATGTAAAGCCTGCAGAGACCAGAAGAGGGTGTTGGATCCCCTGGAACTGGGGTTACGGGCGGTTGTTTAGCTGCCATGTGGGTGCTGGGAATTGAACCTGGGTCCTCTGCAAGAGCAGCCAGTGCTCTTGACTGTTGAGCCATCTCTCCAACCCCCATGCTTCCCTTTTTAACAAAGCTTTGGCCTCCAGGAGAATTGAGGCTTTTTCTTTCTGCCTTTACTATCTTAATTTACCAACTGAAGAAAGTTTGAGTTTCTCAAGGATTCTTTGTCCTTGAATTCTCAGAGACTTCTCTCTGAATAGCATCCAGTCCCACACTGGGAAAGCTAGTATTCTAGCCTATGATAGGTTGTGTGAGCTGTAACCTAGGGTAGGATGTGTGAGCTGCACAGGATAGCAGCAAGCAGCTAGGTAACCAAAGGGCAACCATGTTGAGGATGCAAAAACCTTTAATTCATTTTTTTTACTGGTCATACGTTAAAGCAATATTTTCAGTGGTCTTTATTTGGCAATGCTCATAGAAAGTAAGTTAGTGTGAAAAACATGAGTATTGCCAGGTGTGGAGGTGCACACCTTTAATCCCAGTACTCCAGAGGCAGAGGCAGGCAGATTTCTGTGAGTTCAAGGCCAGCCTGGTCTACATAGTAAGTTCCAGGCCAGCTGGAATTCAAAAAAGGTATTAAGCTCAATTTGTCTTTTTCTTTTGTCTCCCTATGTGTGATTTCAGTATGAAAACTAGAATTTTTCATGGCCTTTTAATTAATTTATTAACCTAGCAGATTTCTAAACTAGATAGGCTTCTTTTTTGCAAGTTTTTAGTATAACACCTCCACCAGATTCATTTGTTGTTAGTGGTTGCTTCTCACAGCACAGGTTGACTGAGACTGAGACAGTACTTTACATCCTCAGTCCTCAGGAAAAGGGTTTTTGAGTTCTACCTGATAACAGGTGCAGGATCATGAAAGAACAGGGACATTACTGGAATTTCCGATATAGGGCAAGTCATGTTTTAATTTAGATTCCTATGGAAGCAATGATGATGTCATTTATTCGGAAGAGAGCTCAGAAATGCCAGTAGAGGAAGGCAGAAATAATACAGAGAAGGGATGACAGCCAGGCTATGTTGTCTTAATGAACAGGTTATCACTAACTGCCTCCTCCTGAGACCCTTCAGACACTGCACTGTAAAACTAGTCTCAGTATTTCTTAAGAGCCTAGATTTGAAGCTGCTCCCAAGATAAGAAATAACCCAGCACTTCTGGCCTTCCCCTCTTGTCTACTGATGATGTGTCTGTGACCTAGAAAAGACCTTTGTAGATAGGTACAGGTGCTTGGGAAGGGACCAGAAGTAAATAGATAGGAACATGGTGAACATGAGTGGACACTAGCTTCTGTGTTTACATATATTAAAACGGGAAAGATTCACATTTTACTTTTGACTACTACCCTGTCCATTTTGGTTTGTACCTTGCTTACAAAATGAATAAATGTAAATATACTTCTGTGTTTATGTGTGTGTATGCACATATGTGCACATGTATATGCATAAATATGGAAGCCAGATGTCAACATCTGGTGTGTTCCTTCTTTCTGGGTCTCAGCATCTTATGTTTGGAGCAGTCTCTCACTGAACCTGGAGCTCACTGGTTAGCTAGGCTGGCCTCCATAGTGCTAGGCTTATAGGTTCTTGCCACTACACCCAGTTTTTTTACATGGGTGCTAGGGATCTGAAATCTGGGCCCCATGCTTATCCAGCAAGCATTTTACCAACTGAGCCACCTCTCCAGTCCCCATTAATATATTTCTTTATATTCATATTCTTCAAATTTTTATTTATTTATCTTTATTTTATGTGTATGAGCTTTACCTGTATGTATTAAGTGCAACTATGTTGTACAATGTTTATGGAGGCCAGAAGAGGACATTGGATCCTCTGAAACTGGAGTTATAGACAGTTGTTAACCACCATGTGGGTACTGGGAACTGAACTGGGTACTCTCTAAAAGCAGCCAGTGCTTTTAACCACTGAGCCACTTCTCCAGCCCCTGTATTCATATTCTTAATCTGACCCTTTCAGAATTGAACTGAAAAGAAATGCAATTTTATGCCATCTTAAAATACTAATATTTTGTACTGAGCTCACTCATTAGTGTCCTCTTTTCAGTGACTTGACTACACAGGTCTAAAGATGCCTATTCATATAAAATACAAAGAACTCTATAAAATGGAAGACCCTAATTATAGTGATTTTTTTTTTTAAGGCTAGTTCTGTCAGAATATCATCTGTATTTTAGGTTACTTTAAGTTGTTTTGTGAGTATCCTGCCCTGCTTACAGAGGCACACATTTTGAAGCATTCTCATTATAGATTAAATAAATAATTTTTAAAAGTTAAAGTCAGAATAAAATTTATGGGATTATTTGAGAAGATGTAAAATTTGTCTTTTGACACTAAGTAAAGCAAATTAAGAAAGCTGTAAAGTAGATCTTCTAATGGACAGATGGATTTATAAGTTGTATTGTGTTTTTCAGCTCACTTTGCCCTGTCATATTTGGTCATGAAGTAAGTATTTTACTTCCTCTTCACTCACAAAGTATATCAAGTTGGTAATAGTAGTACTTTTAATGAGTTCCTTTTACCAGTTATTAATATTTTAATATGAATCTGCATTGTCAATTGATGATGTGGGAAACATAACAGCTCCCTGAAGTATTGTCCTTTTAAAGTGACTAAACACTAAAAAAAAAAGCAGGTGCCAGCAAGGATTTCTCACTTTGGTTAGACTGCCTTGCAAAGTCAGACTTTATTTAGTAATTTCTAAGATATATCTGATTTATAGCCTTTAAAAGTTTTGTTTTTTAATCTTTGTTTTATTTTGTGGTTTTTCCATTTGTTTGTTTTGAGACAGGGTCTTCCTGTAGCCACCACTGGCCTCAAACTATGTAGATTAGGCTGGCCTCAATCTCACAGAGACCTGCCTGCCTCTGCCTCAAAAGTGCTGGGATTAAAGGTGTGCACCGCTCTGTCCGACTTTTTAATTATTTATGTTAGAGAAATTTTTGTGTCTAGAGTTTCATTTTTTGAGATAGGGTTTTGCTTTGTAGTCCTGTGTAGGCCTTGACCTCTTAATCGCCCTGCTTTTGTATCTCAAGTGCTGGATTTGCAGACATGTGCCACCATGCTTGACTTTGTTTCCAGATTTTTATTATAAAAAAGATTAAGTTTAGTCACACTTAAAAAAATTCTGATTGATTGACTGTAGCTCAGAGATTGAGCATTTGCCTAATCATGTACAAGACCTTGGATTCAATGCCAGAACTGCTGAGGTAAAAGATAGCCTTCAACATGGTGGCGCAGGCCTTTAATCCCAGCACTTGGGAGGCAGAGTCAGGCAGATCTCTGAGCTCAAGGCCAGCCTGGTCTACATAGTGAATTCCAGGCCAGCTGGGGCTACACGGAGACCCTATCTCAAAAACACCAAAAAAAAAAGAACCTTGAAACGAGTCAGTGAGAACCTTGAAACAAGTCAGTGTTGTAAGCATATGGGGGGCCACTCATCTTGCCACTCACTTTTCTACTTCTGTCCTTCTCTCCTTCCATACACAGCTTGTTAAAGCAGGCCTGACATTAGCACTCTTTGGAGGGAGCCAGAAGTATGCAGATGATAAAAACAGAATTCCAATTCGAGGAGACCCGCATGTCCTTATTGTTGGCGATCCAGGTTTGGGAAAGAGTCAGATGCTACAGGTAGAAAATAAATTATATTCTAGTTTCCCTTTTGCTTATATAATATATGAACGACTGGCATAATTTCTTAAAGCACAGAATGTGTGTGCGTGTTCCAGAGGATCTGGTTTGTCCAGGAGTATAGAGGAACTGGAGTGTGAGTAATACACGGTGTGCATCTGGCTCTGTTTTCACATTGAGCCATTCTCTGCACTTCAGGCTTCATGAGCATCCTATCTATGAAGATATTAAATATGGTGAAACATTGACTATTTCCATGACACTGTTTTTGATCTAGCAGTACTTTGCTAGTTTTTATTGTTTTAAAATATTTATTATTTTTATGTGTATGAGTGTTTTGCCTACATGTATGTAGCTATACCCATGTCATACAATGCCCACAGAGGTCAAAAGAGGCTGTTGGATCCCCTGGAACTGGACTTATGGATAGTTGTTAGCTGCCATGTGGGTACTGGGAACTGAACCCAGGTCCTCTACAAGAGCAGTCAATGCTCTTTAACTGCTGAGCCATCTCTCTAGCCCTGCTAGTCTTTATTTTGATGTGACCTTAGCTATGAGCAGAACAGTGAAGGAAGCAAAGGTCATGCATTCTGTCTTCCCATAAGCACTGTACTTGGCTCCAGAGTCTGCTGATAAAAGTAAGGGTTCTGTCTAAATACATCTCCATCACTTCTCTGAATCCAAAGCAGAGCAGCTCTTAATGACCAGTCATTTGTTGGCCACCAAGAAGATTCTGCCTCTGTCATCCAGAGCCCATGGTATTTACCTCCTGGGTTCATGATGACTCCAGAAGATGTTGCTTGTTGAAATGCTTGTAATTTCCCCACAGTGATACCTGGTAAGCACAGTGTCCTTCCTAAGGACACGTGCCCATGAACCACCCCCAACCCCCTCCTTCCCCACCCGGGGTGAAGAATGTAGCCAAACCAAAGGCTCCCTGGCCCTTTGGTGAGTTGTAGTCAGTCCTGTGGCTGATTAGTTTTTGTCCAGCAGTTGAGAACTCTGGTTGTATATGTTACCTTTGGAACTCTTAGTGCCACAGCCAGCCTGAAACTAGTACCTGCATGTATAGAACTCTGCAGGTGGTTCTGGTGTGCAGCCAAGACTGAGACTTGGCTTTGATCTTGTCATTACATTATCATCCCACCAACCTTATGTGAGTCATCCTTTATTCCCTGTGGTTGGCTGTTAAACCACTCATTTTAATTCCATTAAAACATTGCATCCTTGTTTGGGTCCCTTTGGTCAGTTTTGGTCAGTTGACAATTCTGTTAATGAGCTCTTGTAACAGCCAGACGACTAAGGCACAGAGTACCTAGTTGTGAGTGAAAGTTTGTAATAAAAGTTGAGAGCAGAGTACTTCACCAGAGTCAGTACAACTGGAAGCCTGATTTAACCTCACAGTGTCTGATTATCTGTCCACATCTTTTTTTTTTAATTTATTTATTATTTTTATGTACTGTATGTGTGTATTGCCTGCATGTAGGTAAGTGCACCTGTGTTGTGCAATGCCCTCAGAGGACAGAAGAGGCTGTCGGATCCCCTGGAACTGGAGTTACAGATAGCTGGGTGGGTGCTGGGATTCGAACCTGGGTCTTCTGCAAGAATAGCCAGTGTTCTTAACCGCTGAGCCATCTCTCCAACCCCTATCTGTCCACATCTTAAAATTTTGTGTCACTTAACTGTATAAAACGTAATTTTTTTTCCTTGTATGCGTTGTTTAGTTAGAAAGTTCTTCTTGACAAATAAACAGTTCCAGAATATATTTATTGGCTCTGGGAAAATTTTATTGCCAAGAATGACATTGTTAATTTTTTTTCTTCTACCTAGAATAATGCTTTTAAAACCCTTGCTTGGGCTGGGGAGATGGCTCATTGGATCTGAATTCAAATTCTCAGCACTCACATAAAAAGCAAGGCTGTACATACCTATAGCCCCAGCAATGGGGGCAGAGACAGGTGCTGGCCCCTAGTCCAGTCAAACCAGTGAGCTTCTGGTTCAGTGAGAGGTTATCTTGGGCAGTAAGGTAGAGAGCCAAAAGACGAAAACAGCCTTCACATGCATGCACTACACATGTATACCACACACAGATCCAAAACAAGAACATCAAAAATCACTCTAGAACAATAAAAGTAAACCTCTTGGCTCAATTTTTAAAATCAATATTAATAGGAATTAAACATTGCAAATAATGGAGGGGGTTATTGCATATAAGTACCACTAAGCCAGGTTTTTAAAAATTAGGCCAACACTAACAGAAGCTACTTTTTTTTTTTTAGCTTTTTTTTTTTGGTCTTTTTAAGACAGAGTCTCCCTATAGCCCCAGCTATCCTGGAACTCACTGTGTAGACCAGGCTAGCCTTGAACTCACAGAGATCCACCTGCCCAGTCCAAGTGCTGGGATTAAAGGCATGCGCCACCATGCCCGGCCTGCTACTTACACTTTTTATTTCTGTTTTCTACTGACTACTCAGTAAACCATCCCAGACTAACAAAGAAGGCTGAGACTATATCTCCGTTGGTAGAATGTGTGTCTGCTATGGACAGAACCTTGGGTTCAATCCCTAGAAACACATAAACCTTGTAAACATAGTGGCATACCCCTGTAATCTCAGCACTTGGGAAGTGGAAGCAGGAAAGTCAGGAGTTCAAGGTCATCTTTTGCCCTACATTGTGAGTTTGAGGGCAATTTGAGCCACATGAAACCCTCCCCGTCCTCCCCCCTCAAAAAGGACTTAACAAAGAGCTATAGATCAGGGATAGAGCACTTGCTTAGTATATACAAGGCTCTGGATTTGATCCCTAGTACCCCAGGATGGGAGGGTGGGAGTCAGTAATAAGGAGTTGCAAATAATGAAAATAATGATGGTTCTGTTTATTGTGCCAGCATCACAAGGTGACTGTGATGTGTAGTGCATAGGGCTGGAGCACATCATTGACATAGGCAACTCTGTGAACACAGTTGGATATACAGTTGGTTTTGTAGCATATACTTATTGTGGACTAGCTACCAGATTAAATGCCTGTTGGCATACATAATTTCATTATGACTTTATTAATTTGCTCTGCCTTACTTCAGAGGTTCTTTTAGCTCTGTGTGATTCAGTTTTCTGACCTGCCAAAGCGTGTCCATTCAGTGGATGTTTTTCCAGCTGATGATGTTTAAAGATGCATTGGAGTTTTAAAGTTAGTACTCAGGGTTTGCTCTTTGAATTTGAAAATGAAGCATAAAATGGAATTATATTGAGTGTTCACATAACCATAGCCCAAAGTGAGACTGTCTGGGTTTGATGGAGTCTTGGCTTTACACCTTCATAGCTCTATAGTTTCTACCAGTAAATGAGAATATACCTTCCTCTTTGGTGGTGGTGAAGATTGTAAAGAATACTGGGCATACAGCTAACCTCTGAACTGTTAACTATTAGCTGTATATGTGTGTGTGTGTGTGTGTGTGTGTGTGTGTGTGTGGTGTTGTGGAGGCAAAAGGTTGATATCAGTGAATTCTTTATCACTTTGCAAGCAAGCCCCTGGGGTTTGCCCATCTCTACCCCTGAAGGGCCCAGGCTGTAGAAGTGTGCTGTCTACCCAGCTTTTATTTTTTAAAAAATTATTTTTAAGTGTCTGAGTGTATTGCATTGCCTACATGTGTGTTAGTGTACACACATGTTGTACAGTTGGGCAGTGCCTGTGGAGGTCAGAAGAGGGTGTTGGATCCCCTGGAACTGGAGATACAGATGGTTGTTAGCGCTGCCATGTGGGTGTTAGGAATCGAACCCAGGTCCTCTGCCAGAGCAGTCACTGCTCTTAACCACTGAGCCATCTCTCCAGCCCCTACCCAGCTTTTATAAGGGAGCTAGGGATCAGAACTCAGGTTGTCATGCTTGCCTTGCAAGCACTTTACCCACTGAGCCATCTGTCCAGTCCACTGAGTGATTGTTTTAAACCTGTTGTTCCCATAGGCGGCGTGCAATGTTGCTCCCCGTGGTGTGTATGTCTGTGGTAATACCACAACCAATTCTGGTTTAACTGTAACTCTTTCAAAAGACAGTTCCTCTGGAGACTTTGCTTTGGAAGCTGGTGCCCTGGTACTTGGTGATCAAGGTGAGAGACCAAAGGGAAGTAATAATTCTGGGGTTTTAAAAAAAATCTAGCTTTTTTTTGAGACAGTGGCCTCACTGTCTATGAGTGTCAAATAATAATTGAAAATATCGTACTGTCATTTTAATTTATGCTATACAGTTGAAACTTAGTATCATTCATTTTCAGAATCTTATAGCAGATATATGTAAAAATTAAATAGTCACACAAAAGCCTTTAGTTCCTAGCATTCTGTGTTAGTAATTTCCCTGCAGTTGCAGCTAATACCTCATATTACAGAGCTGTGCTTGAGTCTTCTGACTTGTGTAGCCCATGCTCTTCTTCCCAAATCATGCTGAGTAGTAGTAATGTATTCTCCAAGTATGTCCTGTGCACATACACACTAGGTGCTGGGAATGAGGCAGTCAAGATGCCCAAGTGCTACTCTAAGGAACATACCATAAAGCTTCAAAGCAGGCTTTAAAACAAATGGTTACAAATGTGCTATGATTGTACTGTCCCACAGTCCCCAAACACCTAGCTCAAATAGCACATTTTCTTGAAACTTTTTATACCCCTTTCTGTTTTAACTTTACCCCCTACTTCAGAAAACTCTTCTCACATAATTAAATGGTTTTGAAAGTATACTTCTTATATGTATGTATCTTATCTACTCTGCTTAATTTAAGTCTTTAAATTTTTTTTTTTTTTGGTCTTTTTGAGACAGGGTCTCCCTGTAGCCCCAGCTGTCCTAGAACTCACTGTGTAGACCAGGCTGGCCTTGAACTCACAGAGATCTCCCTGCCTCTGCCTCCCGAGTGCTGGGATTAAAGGCATGAGCCACCATGCCTGGCAGTCTTTAAAATTTTAAGACTCCCTTTCATGTCTTCATTTATAGAGCCCTCCCGAAATAGTGCTTTACCTATGGAAAGTGGTGAATGAATAAGTGAAACATAGAATTTAGATAAGACAAGTATATCGGGGCTGGAGAGATGACTCAGCAGTTAAGAGCACTGACTGCTCTTGTAGAGGACTAGGGTTCAAGTCCCAGCACCCATATGGTGTGTAACAACCATCTGTGACTCCAGTTCCAGGGGACCCAATGCCATCTTCTGACTTCCTTGAACATTGCATGACATGGTGCACTTACATACACGCAGGCAATACTCTCATACACATAAAAATAATAAAATATTTTTTAAAAAAAGACAAGTATGTCATTTGCTGTAAAACAAATAGTTCTCCATTGTTCGACATTTTGATAAGATTAAATTCTGGAAACAAATGGAAAAAATGATTGTGAAATAACTTGTCTGTGGAATCTGGAACTTGCCCTAATCAGACCTGATCTGAAACAATGCTTTGTCTGTTGTTCTATGACTATAGGCATTTGTGGAATTGATGAATTTGATAAAATGGGTAACCAACATCAAGCCTTGTTAGAAGCAATGGAACAACAATGTATTAGTCTTGCTAAAGCAGGTGTGGTTTGCAGCCTCCCTGCAAGAACTTCCATAATTGCTGCTGCAAATCCAGTGGGAGGACACTACAATAAAGCCAAAACAGTTTCTGAGAACTTAAAGTAAGTCTCCTCAAGTATGTCTGCCTTCAAGACACTGAATCCCTGAAGACGTACAGATAACTGAGTACACAAGTAGATAGCTCACGGATGCTAGTCTTTTAATAAATGTGCAAAAATACACTTAAACGCTGAAAAAACCAGTGTGGTACCATTGATAACCCACCAGACTGGTAAATGTTTTAAATGTATTAATCACTACTAACAAAGAAGTGGGGAAAGAGTTCTCACATACTCAGCTTAATATTTTGAATGATGCTGGCATGGTAGTACTTGCCTTTAATCCTAGCACTCAGGAGGCAGATGCTGGCAGATCACTGTGAGTTCCAGGCTAGCCTGGCCTACAGAGCAAGTTTCAGGCCAGCTGGAGCTACAGGGAGACACTGACTCAAAAAGACCAAAAAAAAAAGATTTTGAAGAACAACTTGGTATTATTAAATGTACATTGTTCAGCCATCCTACTTTTAGACAGTCCTGATCATATTCAAATGCAGTTGTGCCTGGAAAAACAATACCACATGCAATCAGTGAAAAAGTAGCTACCAAGTGCATAAAGATGTTTGTAGAGTGTATACTGCAGCATTGCTTATCACTGTCAAAAATCAGAAACACCTCGCAGACACCGTTAGACTGAGGCGGAAGCAGCAGTGAGGAGGAGGCAGCGTTGCCCATGCTAACAGGCACCTGTCTGTCTCACTGCCGGGTGAGCCCGTGGCACACGCTGTGGAACGTAAGCCCAGCTTTTCAAAAACATGTTTACTTTGTGTAGGTGCTTTCTCTTCTAATTCAATTTGTACTGATTGGACAAAATGTGTGGGAAAGAGAAAACAATTTTAATAGATATAACAGTGAGAAGACAAAAGAATGCCTCGGGAAAAACAAGAGCCTCAGGTGTAATAGGGGGAAAAGCTTGTTTTTTTTTTTGAAATGCGAAATCTCACTCTGTTCCCTGTTACTGGTCTTAAAATCATGGGCTTAATTGATCCTCCACCTCACCTCCCTAGTAGCTGGCACTACAAGCCTGTGGTGCTGTCCCTGGCTAATTTAAAAGTGTTCTACAATTTATATATTTAAGATACAAATAGGCCAAAAAGATGGCTCAGTGGGTAAAGCTACTTGCCACCAAACCTGACGACCTGAATTGAGTCCCTGGGACCTCCTTGGTGAAAGGAGAGAACTGTCTCCTACAAGTTGTCCTCTGACCTCCTCATGTGGTCCATGGTCTGTGTGCACACTATGTGTAAAAAAAAATTAAATGAAAAAATAAGAAACAGTCTTGGATACATCATCATAAAACACACAACTTCACTTAGAGATTTGGGATGTTCTGTTGTCATTGCCACCAAAAAAAGCCACTCTATTGGTAGTTTTTCTTGAGGAGAATAACAGCATACTATATTATAAAGTTTGTAAAGATTCTGTTGAACAAAACTACAACGACTTGGTTCTGCTTTTTTTTTTTTTAGCATAAGCCTGCTTTGGTGGTTTTATCAAATTCTTTAAACCCTCTGGTTTCACTTTCCTTGTCTCAGATAGCAATGGTACCTGGATTGATGGGCTCAGTAAGATGACTGAGTAGAACATAGCATCTTTCCTCTTATTCTAGGTGACATGTAAATGCACTTTGTAGAAAAAGTAGAATTTTGCTTTTAAGAGGGGCATGGGTACTCCGAGAGACAATGTTTTGTTGAGATGAGATAAAAAGCTCAAGAATTACTCAGATAGCCTCTGATCTTAGCATTAGCATTGTTAGTGTTAATAGCACATAAAGGAGCTTAAGTGACTTTGATGGTACAAGAACAGACTATGTCTTCAACCTACCAAGCTTGAAGCACATAGAGGTGCCTTGCATGTGGAGGAGGAGTGGAACAGGTGGCTAGATTGAATCCCACAGCTTAGTTCCTTAACCTAAAGCTTGATTCCTTTTTTGTTGAAGTTCTACGTGGGACTGGAATAGTAAATTACTAAACTGTTTTAGTTTTTTCTGGTTGGATCCCAATCATTGTTTATTCTGTCTTTCATGTGCCCTAGAATGGGGAGTGCCCTACTCTCCAGGTTTGATTTGGTCTTTGTCCTGATGGATACCCCAAATGAGCAGCATGATCACTTACTTTCTGAACATGTGATTGCAATCAGAGCTGGAAAGCAGAGAGCTGTTAGCAGTGCCACGGTAGCTCATATGAGAAGTCAAGATTCAAATACTTCTGTACTTCAAGTGGTTTCTGAGAAACCATTATCAGAGAGACTGAAGGTATACGTGTTTCTTCTTAATCATTCCGTTTGATTCCACTTGAATGTCCAAGTTCAGTGTGTAATAGAGACTGGGAGTGTGGCATGGTGTTAAAGCATGTGCTTAGCATGTGTGGGGCTTAGAATTTAATCCCTAGAATACTCCCCACCCCATCCCCCCAAAATTTGTCTTCCTCCCTAGAAATTTACAGGCTACTAGAGTTAATGTAAACTTACTTGAAATCATTTAAATCATTGGGAATGAAAGCTATAGCCATAGTGCTTGGCTTATTTGGACAGTGTTTTGAATTTTTTATTTACCTAAACAAGTTATTTCAGGAGGAATATTTAATTTGTTACTTGTAATCTTGAGCCTTTTTTATCATGCTTTAGGTGCTTCCTGGAGAAACAATAGATCCAGTTCCACATCAGCTGTTGAGAAAGTACATTGGCTATGCACGGCAGTATGTCTGTCCACGATTGTCCACAGAAGCTGCTCAAGTTCTTCAAGATTTCTACCTGGAGCTCCGGAAACAGAGCCAGCGGCTAAGTAGCTCACCAATCACTACCAGGCAGCTGGAATCTTTGATTCGTCTGACAGAGGTTTGTATTTTTACATTCCTGCTTTCTATGACGAAAAGAAGTGGGTAGGAGGAGTTTGGCCTGGTGACATAAACCTATAATCACAGTTATTCATGAGGCTGAGGCAGGAGGATTGCAAGTTTAAGGTCTGCATGGACTACAGACTGGGTAACAGTGTGAGACCTGCGTCAAAATCAAAAGCAAAAAAGAGGGCCGGTGTATGTCAGTGGTAGAATGCTCCTTAGCATAGTTAGTGCCCTAGGTCCAACCCCCAAGACTGCACAAAAAGAAAAGGTGGAGGGTGCAGTATGACTTCACTTTTGATCAAGTTTCTTCATTATTCACTCAATTTTTCTTTCTTTAAGAGACATTGGGGCTGGAGAGATGGCTCAGTGGTTAAGAGCACTGGCTGTTTCTTGCAGAAGACCCAGTTTTGAAACCTAGCACCCACATGGTGGCTAACAACCATCCGTAACTCCAGTTCTAGGGGATCTGACGCCTTCTTCGCTCCTCCAAGGGCACTGCAGGACGTGGGTGCACTTATACACATGTGGGCATAACACTCATACACATAAAATAAAATAGACATTAGAGATGGGTAAATATGTTTTTTTTTTTTTTAAGGTTTCATTATGTCTGTAACATCAAAGCTATAGATTTCTTTCCAGGAATAGAACCAGCTGCTTACTAAGCAGCTTTTATTTAATGAAACAGATTTCTGGAGTATCTGAAAAGTAGTTAGATGAAGTGGAATTCTGGAATTCCAAGTTGAGTATATGAGAACATGGAATGTGTCAGGTGCCTTAAATGTTTGTGCCAGTTACAGCACAGTTTTTGTGACAGCAACACTTTCTTCCACACTGTGCAGTGCTAGGAACTTTGGCAGTTAGAATGAGCTGGGTCAGATCTGAAGGTTCTTTTGCTCCTAAAATGGGATTAACGCCTATGATTTTAGTTTAACAAACTAATAGATTTCCTGGAAATCAAAGGCAAGGAAAAAACAAGTATTTTCATAACCAAATCTCCTAAAATGAATACTCAGCAAAAGATGTTAGAAAGTAAAAATAGGTTTGGGTCATGCTCATTTTGTACTTTTTTAATATTTTAAACACACTTATTATTAATTTGAGAATTGCATGGATGCATACAAGGTATCTTGATCATCCCATGCTCCTCCCTAACTCCTCTCAGTTCCACCTGCTACCACCTTCCAACTTCTTGCTTTCCCCTTTTTAAATAACCCACAGAGTCCAATTTGTGCTGCCCATTCACTCATGGGTGCGTCGGATTGTTAATTTTGACTTTTTTTGATTGATTTATTTTTATTTTATGTATATGAGTATATTGCCTGCATGTCCTGCAGTGTCCACAGATACCAGGAAAGGGCATTGGATACCCCTTTGGAACTGGAGTTATGGACAGTTGTTAGCTGCCATGTGGGTGTTGGGTTTCGAATGTTGGTCTTCTGCAAGAACAGCCAGTTACTCTTAACCACTCATCCCTCTAGCCCCTAATTTTGACTTTTAATATTACCATTCTCTCCCTCAAACATCAGCTTTTACATACAGTGAATAAGCATAGACATGCCATACCTGCACAAATAATGCTAAAAGCATTTATCTTTTGTTGTTTTAAAGTAGTTGTTTTCTTTCATAGGCACGAGCAAGGTTAGAATTGAGAGAAGAAGCAATGAAAGAAGATGCTGAAGATATAGTTGAAATTATGAAATATAGGTAAGGTCAGCACTACTGACTTACGGGGAGGGGCTGTGCATGCACATGTGCATGCCCGGGGTCTTGTGGTTGTCAGGCTAACTTCTGAAAGTGTTCTTTCTTCCTCCATGTGGGTCCGGGGGATCAAACTAATGTCAGGATTGATGACAAGAACCTTTACCTGCTGAACCATTATGGCACCTTCATTTTTGTAGGAATCTACCCCACCCCTCACCGCTTTCTGTTTCTCTGGTGTTTTTATTTGATAATTTCTGTTTCTTCAAAAGTAAATGAATTGTATAGATACTGTGTAGTTTGCTTTATGTGAGAACCAGGCTGCTTTGCCAGTTGTTCCCCTCTGACATTTAATGAAAGTGCTATATAGCTAAAGAGCAAGGGTTTTACAGTCCGTCTTCAGGCTGCTGTAGCATGTTACCATGGGGGCTGGTGAGATGGCTTAGAGGGTAAAAGTGCTTCCCGCACATACCTGTTTCCCAGAACTCACATAAGTGTGGAAGGAGAGCACCAACTCCACAGAGTTGTCCTCTGACCTCCACCTGTGTGCAAGTGGCATGCATGTACCCCAACAATAGTAACTATACCATATGTTGAATTCAGATGTGTTGTGTGTGATACCATAGATAAGGGCAAACATGGCTCTGGCACTTTAGTGGATACTCAGTGGACACTGTTCACTTTCAGTGCTCCTTTAGTATGTGTTAGTGGACACTATGATCATTGCTAGGTAAGTGCATGTTAGTAAATATTTGGTGGACACTGTTCACTATTAGTGCTAGTTTAGTGCACGTTAGTGGACATTCAGTGGACACTGTCAACATTGGTTTACGGCATGTTAGTGGACACTCAGTGGACTGTCAGCGCTAGTTTAGTGCATGTTAGTGGACACTCGGTGGACACTGCTCACTATTAGTGCTCGTTTAGTGCACGTTAGTGGACATTCAGTGGACACTGTCAGCATTGGTTTATGGCATGTTAGTGGACACTCAGTGGACTGTCAGCACTAGTTTAGTGTGTTAATGGACACTCAGTGGACACCATCAGCTCTAGTGCACGTTTAGTGGATACTTAATGGATTATCAGCACTAGTTTAGTGCATGTTAGTGGACATTCAGACACTGTCAGCTCTAGTTTAGTGCACATTAGGACACTTGGTGGACACAGTTCATTGTCAGTCCTAGTTTAGTGCACGTTAGTGGACATTCGGACACTGTCGGCGCTAGTTTGGTACATGTTAGTAGACACTGTTTGCCATGGGTACTAGTTTTGATGACACTGAGACTGCACAAATTGTCTTTCTCTGACTCATACTGTAAACTAAATGCTTTAAAAACAGACAGATTCGGGGCTGGAGAGATGGCTCAGCGGTTAAGAGCACTGACTGCTCTTGCAGAGGACTCGGGTTTGATTCCCAGCACCCACATGGCAGCTACGAACCATCCTTAACTCCAGTTCCAGGGGAATCCGAAGCCCTCTTCTGATCGCCATGGCATTGCACGACATGGGTGCACTCACATTCACGCAGGCAATACAGTCATACACATAAAATAAAAATAATAAATAAGGGGACTGAAGAGATGGCTCAGTGGTTAGGAACACTGGTTGTTCTTGCAGAAGACCCGGGTTCGAATCCCAGCACCCACATGGTAGTTAACAACTGTCCATAACTCCAGTCCCAGGGGATCCAACAGCCTCTTCTGACCTCCGCAGGCATTGCACAACACAGGTGCACTTACCTACATGCAGGCAAAACACACCTACACATAAAAATAATAAATAGAATTTTTTAAAAGTTTGTTTAAAACATAATAAATAAAATATTTTAAAAACAGGCAGATTTTAGATTTCAGAAGTTACAAATTACACTTTTCAAAGAACATTTAGGGTGCATATCTTTTTTCAAATGGAAGCAAGGTAGCATGGATTAAAATCATTAGCTGTGGAGACTGAAGAGATGACTCAGTGGTTACACATAAAATAAATAAAATAAAATAAAGTAAAATAAAATATAAAAGATATAAAATAAAAATGAGTTTGTTACTTGAAGTGGCGTTGGCCATGCAAAGTGTTCTCATTCCCCTTTATTTTCTAGTTCCTGAACAGGGCTTGTTACCTATAGGAGAGGAGAGAGACAATATGGCAGCCAGGATTGTTTGTTGACATCCTTCAATCCCTCTTCAGCAAATGTTCCATAATGCTTATTCTGCTGTGATAGTCCAAAAACTGTTGAGAGGATGGACAGCAACCCTTGCCCTCATTAAATGTTCAGTCATGTCACATCCTTTTCTTCATAGGTGGTAGGTCTCCAAGCCTGACACTACCCTAAACTCTGTTTTTGGTCTTTTTGAGACAGGGTCTCCCTGTAGTCCCAGCTGACCTGAACTCACTATGTAGACCAGGCTGGCCTTGAACTTGCGAAGATCTGCCTGCCTCTGCCTCCCAAGTGCTGGGACTAAAGGCATGTACCACCACGCCCGGCTTTTAAAAATTTTAAATTTTTATTTTATGAGTATGAGTGTTTTGCTTGTGTGTGTGTAAGGACACCCATGTCATGCAATGCTGATAGAAGCTAGGAGGGCATTGGAGTCCCTGGAATTGAAGTTATGGGTGGCTGTTATTTGCCATGTGGGTGCTGTGAATGAAACCTGGGTCTTTTGCAAGCTAGTGCTCTTAACCACTGAGCTGTCTCTCCAGACCCCTCAAATCATTTCTGACAACTTTTCTGATAAAGAATATGATGGGGGCTGGAGAGATTAACAATAAACCTTAGAAAATGAAGAACATCGTGGATTCATCCTAAAGGCCTTAAAGAAAAGTACACTGTATTTCAGGGAGTTTGAAAATGCTCATGCATCTTACTGTTTCATCGTGTTTTGGTCTTAACTTGGATGACTCATATTTCTTTTTGTCTAGTTCATTTTCTTGTCTATGTAAAGAACTGTGTAAAGCAGCTTTATTGTTAGTGAACCTTTAAGAGCATTTCTAGGGGGCTCTTTAAGGACAGATTTGTTTTGTTTACCACCCTGAACCTACTGCCTAACCAGTGACCAATATATATTTGATTGCTAATTCATGATTAAATAACATCTTTGCCTGTTAAACTGGCTATGAGATTTTTTTTATTTTATGCCCATTGTCCAGACAGGGACTCAACTGGAGAGTTGGCTCATGGGTTGGTTAATTATCTGTAATGAGTGTTTGCAGACACACAGCTAAAACTCACTGCCAATGCCTATTTCTTTTCATGGTGCTATTGTAAAAATAAAAGAAAGCAGAAGAGAAATGGCAATAGTATCTGCCCATCATGACGTCAGTATAAGCTGAGTTCATTTCTAGAGGATTTTCAAATGTATATTTCTTTGTAAAATAAGAACACACTTTTACCCAGTAAGGCCTAAATCTGTTGTCTTAAGAATTTATTTTATAAATCAAAAATAATGTATCCAAGCTGGGCATGGTAGTGCACACATTTAATCCCAGCGCTTGGGAGGCAGAGGCAGGTGAATCTCTGTGAGATTGAAACCAACCAGGTCTACATAGTGAGTTCTAGGCCAACTAGGGCTACAGGGAGACCCTGTCTCAAAAAGACCAAAAGATAAGTAAATAAAATAATGTTTCTAGTATTTCTATCACAGTTTTCAACTCTGTTTTTTCATTTCATATTGACGTTTGTTTTTTGTTTTTGGAGACAGGGGAATCTTCCTCCATAACCCTAACTGACCTAGTACTTGTTATGTATTTCAGGCTATTCTTAAACTCAAGGAAATTCTCCTGCCTTATCCCCTGAATGCTGGGATTATAGGCATGTACCAGCATAGCTCGAAGTTATTTAAAACCAGTAACTCTTCAAAATATTTTCATGCCAGTTCATGCCATATTGAGTTTCAAAGTGGCAGAGTCTCACAGCTGTTCCCCAGCTTTGTTGTGACCAAGAAGCCCAGCGCAAACATTTCTGTAGCCATGCCACACTGGATGACGTTCTCTTCTCTTTCCTTTAAGCATGCTAGGAACTTACTCTGATGAATTTGGGAACCTAGACTTTGAGCGATCTCAGCATGGCTCTGGAATGAGCAATAGGTCATCAGCAAAAAGATTTATTTCTGCTCTCAACAACATTGCTGAAAGAACTTATAATAATTTATTTCAATTTCATCAACTTCGTCAGATTGCCAAAGAACTAAACATTCAGGTATGATAGCCTAAATATTGTAATAATTTCAGGGGCTCCTTATTAATATGTAATAGAACAAAACCAGTTTTTTATTATCTAAGATCCATCCTTACCTCTTCTCAAAGGTTTTGGCATCTTGATAATTAGAAGGAAGTTTTCTAGGAATACTTAGGTTCCACCTTTTCCTGGCAGTCCCTATGTCAAGTCATAGTAGTATCTTTGACTCTATTTCTTCATGTTAAATTGACATGATTCCACCTTTTCTTCCTACTTCAGAGTTCCAACAGAAATAAATGTGACTACACTTTAAACATGAGAACAGTTTACATGTAAGATTACCCACATAATTTCAGAAGCTAGTATGATTTTAGTTAGTTCGTTTTTTTTTATGTGTTTGAGTGTATTGCCTACATGCATGGTAAGTGTACTTGTGTTGTGCAATGCCTATGGAGGTTAGAAGTGGGTGTTGGATTCCCCTGGTACTGGAGTTACTGATGGTTGTTAGCTGCCAGCTGGGTGCTGGGAATCAAATCTGAGTCCTCTGTAAGAGCAGCCAGTGCTCTTAACTGCTGTGCCCCATGATTTTAGTTTAGTTTAGGATTCTTTGCATATTGGAGTGCTGTAAGAAATACATATAATTTTATTCACCAGGAAACTTGGCAGATATATGACTATTTAGAGACTGATTGCAGAAATTATACTTGGCATATTGCTGAATGGGCTAACTCTTGGTGTTTGCTTCCAGGTTGCTGATTTTGAGAACTTCATTGGATCGCTAAATGACCAGGGTTATCTCTTGAAAAAGGGCCCAAAGATTTACCAACTTCAAACCATGTAAAATGACTTTACCAAGTTAGGGTCACCTGTGGTTCAAGTTAATTAAAAACCATCTTAATAATGAAAACTGAGAAAGTATTCTCTGGAAAATGATATACTACAAGTATTGTAACAGAAGTGTTAAATACAGTCAGCTAAGAATGGTAAAGTCATGAGTTTATGTTCCATAACTTTTCCAGAAGGTTAAAAATAAATTATTTACATTATTTTATCCAAATGCTGTATTATATACACTTGACCTGTTTTATATTTTTATGAATATTTCATGGTTTTGTGTATTGTGTTCATCAGGATAGCATTCAAATAACACATGAACAAATGACCATGTGTTCCAGTGAAACTATTTTCAACACTAAAATTTGAATTTCATAAAAGTTTTAGGTCTCTTGGGCTGGAGGGATGGCTCAGTGGTTAAGAACACTGACTGTTCTTGCAGAGGACCTGGGTTTGATTCCCAGCACCCACATGGTGGCTACAAACTGTCCTTAACTCCAGTTCGAGGGGAATCCGACACCATCTTCTGATCTCTGTGGCATTGCATGGCACAGGTGCACTCACACACATGCAAGCAATACACTCATACACATAAAAATAAAAATATTTTAAAAAGGTTTTTTAGGTCACAAATAAAACATACTCTTGGTTTGTTTTTAACTATTCAGTAATTATAGGCAGTGGGTGTGATTTGGCCTTGGTTGGAAGCAATATAAGCTGGCTGACTTAAGCAAAAGTTCTGTTTGGTTTTTTATTTTAATATTTTATTTTTATGTATATGAGTGTATTGCTTGCATGTAGGTAACTGCACCCATGTTGTGCAATGCCTGTGGAGGACAAAAGAGACTGTTGGATCCCCTGGAATTGGAGTTATGGACAGTTGTTAGCTGCCATGTGGGTGCTGGGATTTGAACCCGGTCTTCTGCAAGAACAGTCAGTGTTCTTAACCGCTGAGCCATCTCTCCAGCCCAGAAGTTCTGTTTTTTTAATTTTGGTTAATTTACAGAGTTGTAAAAAGGCTGAGGATTTAAAAAACAACAACAACAACAACAACAACAAAAAAAACGCTTTCATGAGCAGTCTGTTCAGGTAGCCTTCTGCCTCCGTGGGCAGTCTGTTCAGGTAGCCTTCTGCCTCCGTGGGCAGTCTGTTCAGGTAGCCTTCTACCTCCGTGGGCAGTCTGTTCAGGTAGCCTTCTGCCTCCGTGGGCAGTCTGTTCAGGTAGCCTTCTACCTCCGTGGGCAGTCTGTTCAGGTAGCCTTCTGCCTCTGTGCCCCTCAGATGCCACTCTGGCACCGGGGAACTGCAGAAAGGTGAAAGAGTGCCCCACCCATGGCAGGACAGCAGCAGAGAGCATTTGTCACTGGGCCTGCTTTTGTTGCTGAGTTCAAAAGAGAAGTCTCATCTAGAAACAGCTGTCTGAAGAAGCTGGGTTACATGTCCCTTTCATAGAATGCTAGGGAGTTTCCTGAGGTCTACTTCAGGGGGGACCAATAAGGTCAGAATTTCCTGTGTTTTGTGAGAGGGTTCAAATGGAACTAGGCTTTTAGCCAAAGTATCATCCATATATATTTATGTATTATATCCAATATCATCCATATATATATATCCAATAAACACTAGCATATAAGCATCAGGCAGTGTGAACCACTTAATGACTAATTAAATTTTCAGGAAATCAAAAGATGAAAGAAAAAAAAAAAAACTGGGTAGGGGAGGTGACTTAGTTGGTAAAGTGCTTTCAGTGCAGACTTGAAGGCCCGAGTTCAGATCCCCAGTACTCTTGTTGAAAGCTCCATTTGTAACCCCGGGCAGCAAGAAAGAGGTATATCCCTAACACTCCCTGGCCAGCCAGTCTAGCTGAGTTGGTGAGGTCTGGGTTCAGAGACCCTGTGTCAAAAAACTAAGATTGGATCTAACTGAGGAAGACAATTCAGTGCCAACCACTGACCTTCATATGCAGATACTTACACACATGCAAAAGAACTGGCAAGGTACACCAAACATTTAACCAAAATACCAGAAATAGTCATACTTCACAGTAAATATTTAACCTATAGTACAGCAAAAATGAAAATGAAATGTGGGTTTATTACCATAGGATATTAATAATACCATGCAGATATTAAAATCTGACTTTTAAGAAGGAAGAATGAAACAAGTAGGTAATAGTATAAATAGTATAAATATGATGCTGTCATGGGTTGAACCTAGACACTTGTACCTGTTAGGCAACTGCTTAGCCACTGAGTTGTATCTGCGGCCTAATATGGTGATGTCTATGTCTGTTTTTTTTAAGAAACTTTTTATTACATTATTGTGGAAGGTGGCCACACTTGTGGAGGTCAAAGGATTACTTAGGGGAGTCAGTTCTCCCTTTACCATGTGAATCTAGGGTATCAAAATTGGACTTGGCTGCAAGCACCTTTACCAGCTGAGTCATTTCACTAGCCCGTGATGTTTATCTTTAAAGGCTACGATGGATGTTAAAGGGTAAGAAGAGCTAATCATCTTAATAGAATTAAAGCTTGCTTCATAAAAGTCAACACACAGTTGGCATGAGAAAGATGAAATGCATAATTGTTCAAAGAAGTATGGACTTTTTAAACCTTTATGTAAAAGGTCAAAGCTTAAGGCCATCATATAAGATTATAGGAGAAATAGGATACAAGCCTAATTTCTCAAAAGAAACTGCCATGTTTTCTTGCATTCTGTATTTGTCCATCCAGCTTCTACTAATCACAGGACTAAACTGACAGCCAAAGTTTACAAGCCATTGGTTCAGAGAAACCATTACAGACCCTCCAGCCCGAAGCCCGTTTGTGTTTCATGTCCTGCTTAAGAAGGGGCTGCCCCACCTACCAGCTGCTCACCACTGTCCTATAGCTAGCTTTGTCCTCAGCTTGCTTTTCCTTCCTTCTGTCCCCTCCTGACCATGATTATTCAAAATCCATGCCTATGATGAGAACTAGATCCCTGATTGCAGTGGTTGTTTAAAAAGAAAATAGTCTTACATTGCAAGTGCAATTTTTTAAGCTTTTCTATTTATGTCAGTGTTACAATATGTGTATGAGAAATTGAAGATCTTGAGGCTGAGAGATAGCTCAGCAGTTAAGAGCACTGGCTGTTCTTGGAGAAGACCCAGGTTCAAATCTCAGCACCCACACAGTGGCTAACAGCCATCTCTTAACTCCAGTTCCAGGGGATCCGACTCCCTCTTCTGTTCTCCGAGGGCACTGCACTTAACATTCAGGCCTAACACTTGTACACATATAAAAATGAATTTTTTTTTAAAAAATTGAAGAGCTTGATAAAATGCTTCACAAGTCTACATGTCCAATTTCTTGAGGTCTTTAAGAACGGGCTGTGTCACAGATTGGGCTGGAGAATAGTGGAAATGCTGCCGGAGCCATGCACTATCAATTTTACACAGGGACATGGGGACACAGTTGTTGAGCTGCTGCGTAGCATGGAAGGTCCCGGGTTCAAACCCCAGCACTACAGCAAATGCATGCAGATTCAGTCTGACAGAAGGAACCTATCTTACAAAGTTGCAATGCTAATGTATCAATAATGCGTAATTTATAATAACCAATTCTAACAACTGATTTGCTACTATTTTGAATTGTTTTAGAGTAAGCAGTTTTCTTTTATGCCCGTTTCCTTGTCTGTAAAAGTAAAAGCAATATTAGAGCCTATGTTGAGTTGTTGATAGCATTAAATGCATTATGGCTTATACAATAAGCATTTTTTCCCATGTAAACAAATAGTAATTGCTGTTATTGACGCCTATTCCTATTTTGGGCCTGTTTATATTTAATGCTTAAAAGAGGGGAGAGAAACTGATTCTGAAGTCTGCTGGTAACAACCCCCCACGTTGACTGGCCTCTCCATCTGAAGTTTTGCATTCTGTTTCCTGGCTATCTCGTCTCTGCAGTATGTGAAATCACAAGTGTTAGAAGTACAGGTTCGCGGCCCTCTGAATACTTTAGTGTTGTAATTGAATGTGTGTAAGCTACAAGTGAAAGTTCCTGCGTTTTCTCATTTCCTTTCAGTAAGTGTAACTGGTTCACCTCTGTTCCCCTGTGTAGAACGTGCATTCCAGTGATATACATTGTACTTACGGTTGTAGAAGATAATAAATCCCTTTTAGGGCACAGCCCTTACATGGCCAAAAAAAAGTAGAGTTAGTACTTAATTTCATACCAATACTTTTTAAACCTCTCCCAGGAATCCTACAGTGCCGCGCACACATCGAAGAGGGCTTATGCTGGCCCCTGACATCCGAGAGTTTGAGTCCGGGGCCTGGGGTGGCCACCTAGACGGTGGCTCTTCGCGCAGTGGGCATTCCCACTGCCGGCTGCTGGTGGACACTGCACCGCACACTTCGCCAAGCCCTTGGGCCCTAACTGCAAGCGCTTGCCGCTACCTCCAGGGGGCGCCGGGGAGCCGGGCAGCATGAATGTGGTAAAGTGTCGTGAAAGCAGCCGCCCTTCGCGGCAAGCGGCCACCTGTATAAGCGGGCTGTGCTGGTGTGGCAATAGAATGGAGGCACTGGCGGCCGCGCTTCCTGGGCACCGCGGGGGTTCTATAAAGAGGCGGCTGACCGGTGTCCCAGGCTGCTGAGCTTTCGACGCGTGGACGTCGCGGCGGCCGCAGGGCCATGCTGGCCTGGCGCGTGGCTCGCGGCGCGTGGGGGGCCGTTCGCGTGGCCTCCTGGACCCCGGGGGTGCGGCTGGGCAAGGGCAGCTCCCGCAGGGCCCTGCTGCCGCCTGCTGCCTGCTGCCTGGGCTGCGTGGCTGAGCGCTGGCGACTGCGCCCCGCCGCGCTCGCGGTGCGACTGCCCGGCCCGCGGAACCACTGCTCGGGTGCGGGAAAGGCGGCCCCCGGGCCTGTGACCGGAGGAGGCGCTGCCGCGGAAGCCCCGGGCGCCCGGTGGGTCCCTTCGAGCGCCACCAGCCTGGTATGTAGGAGGGTCCGCGCAGGCCTTGGCCTGGACGCAGAGACCGGGTCAGGGCGGCCGGTTTCGGAACTTTGCCACGGTGTTCCGAGAAATTACGGCAGACAGGGCATTCGGCCGCGATGAATTTCAGGGCACCAGCCGGGTCCGCTCTGTGGCCCAGTTAGAACCTTAACTCTTACCCCCTTCTGTTCGCATCCGTTGCTGGAAAGTGTGTCTGCACATTGCATTGGCAAAAATAACCTTCGCTTGTCTAATTAAAAATCCACTTTTAATTTTATGAAGGGAAACCCCTGTGTGGAGGTAAGTCCTGGGGAATCATCTGGGCTCTTGTGAAGAGTCGGTTCACTGCCCCTTGGCCTTTGGTAACCTTACACATTAGCATGGAGAATAATTGTAGTTTAGGTGGTCATTAAAAGATCTTTTAACTTTGAATTACAGAAAAATCTATTTTTGAGGTAACGTAGGGAAGTGCACATACCTGCTAAAGTAACTTCCCAGGCAGAAGACACCAGAGCATGTGTGGGACAGCTTTTGATGTCATGTTAGCAAGGCTCATGCAATTATTACATCTTCAATTGTTAGGTCTTCAGTGGGCCACTGTATTGCTTTCATCAGTTACACAGCATGGGCTGAGGTGGCCACATCCCAGCCGGGGTCTCAACTCCAGGAATAGCTTTAAAGCCTGTGGGAGCGTCAACACTGGATGCTTTGAAGTTGCCCTCATCCTGGCAGAAGTCCTTCCCACAACGGCAGTAGTTGGTCGAGTATGCCACAGGTTATCTGGTTGGGTAATCAGACATTAAGCTTTCCTAATGTTAACTTTGAAACTTACATATTTAATAAGTAGATATTAATGAACTTTTAAAAACCAGTATTTTATGTGGCAGGCAAACTCATTTCACTGGCCGGATAACAATCAGTTCTAGTGATTTTGCTTCATTTTTTACCACAGTGTGGTCAACAGACTTCACTATAGTGAACAGACCATTTTTCCTCTGGACTCTGAAACACTCTAATCTTTGAACCTGGGACTACATGAGCATGTTTTCATGTAATAATATAATGTGGTCCCACTTTGACCACAAGATTCCAGAGTAGAGGTTGTATTGCTTCTAGTTTTGTGATTGTTCCTGTGATAGAAACCAGAAGTTCTCTGAGGCAAGTATCTCCGCCAAACCCCACTGTTGGTAGTCACATCCGTATCTTGGGTCTGATACGATGCCCCAGCTGCAGTAAGCCGGACAACCCACTCTTCTTGCTAGGGTGTCTCTCTCCTGTCCTTGTTCACCAGTTACCTGTCCTTGCACACCAGTTACCAGGGTATGTGTCTCCTGTCCTTACACACCAGTTAGCAGCTACCTGAACAGCTTCTTTGTTTTACAACTCCAGAAAAAGGGCCCCAGGGCCCTTCTCTGCCTTTTGTGTTTCTAGTAACATAAAATTAACCTAAACCCCTCCCACCTTTGCACAGCTTGCTTGTCTGTGGAGAAGCTGCGTCACCTTCATTGATCAAATCCTCTGTTCAGTCAACTGAAGGTCTGACTCTGGTCTTTTTACCTGAACTTTATTCTTTCTCCATCCTTATAACTCTTACACCCTGGAGAATAGAAGCTGTATAGCTTTCAATGACAAGTGTTCTGCCACCTGGCCCCAACAACCACCCCATTATCCCTCTTAGCTGATGGGCTTTCTCTTAGGTATTTATAAACACAAATTTGATATTTTTAGAGAATGTCTTTTTAAAATTTTTATTTATTTTTATTTTGTGTATATGAGTGTTATGTCTGCGTATGTGTTGGGCATCGGATCCCCTGGAACTGGAGTTACAGATGGTTGTTAACCGTCCAGTGGGTGCTGAGATTTGAAACCAGGTCTTCTGCAAGGACAGCTAGTGCTCTTAACCGCTGAGCAAGACATCTTGAAAAATGAACACTGCTACTTTTTTCTTTTTGTACATTTACTTATTTGTGTGTGTGTACTGAGCACATATGAAGGTCAGGAAAACTTGGCCAAACCTGGTTCTTTCCTTCTACCATGTGGATCCTGGGATCAAACTCCAGTTGTCAGGCTTGGCAAGTATCCTTACCCACTGAGCCATCTCACTAGCCTGCCACTTTTTTCTAAATCTAGGTTAAGGTTCAGGCAACTTGGTTACTGATTTAAAAAGATGTTAAAGTGCTTTTTTGAAGACAAAAGTCCAGTGGGGTGGAATTGTCTGTTGACCCAGTGGAGAAAAGAGTTCAGACTTTAGGAAAAGACGTTTTCTTGCCATTTCTGTACCTTGTTGTCCAGGGTATTTTAGCTCTGCTATGCTGAGGATTTTTAAAGTTGAAATACTCTTTTTTTTTAATATTTATTATTTGATTTTATGTGTATGAGTATGTTGCCTGCATGTATGTGAGGGCACCCGTGTTGCACAATGCCGTGGAGGTCAGAAGAGGGCTTCGGATTCCCCTGGAACTGGAGTTAAGGACGATTTGTAGCCGCCATGTGGGCGCTGGGAACTGAACCCGGGTCCTCTGCGAGAGCAGTCAGTGCTCTTAACCGCTGAGCCATCTATTAGATTCTGTTTGGCAAAGAAGGGTTGTCCTTCTGTCAAATAGCCCTTTTGTTAGTGCCAGTTTCTAGCAGCTGGGCTGCAAATGAAGTTTGAAGGAACCAGAGCTCCCACGTGGGAACTGTGAAAGCAAAGCCTTCAGTTTTTACTTGGGAGAGGAGGAGGAAGTGTCTCACCATCCATGGCTGTTTTGAACAGATTCACAAAGTTTTCATTTCCATATATCTTGATCTCTGTTCCTATCTCCATTTTCTTACAGCAGTTTTTGTTGTGGTGATGAGGTTATGAAATTGGGTTTCTCCTGTGTTCATACATTCACACACTGTGTTTGGATTTAGCATCCTTTTGATGCCGGTATATAGATGAATGAGAGAAGTTGTTTGCAATAAATGTTTCAAACCAGCATGCCTGGAATTGATAACTTAGTTTTATTTCTGACAAATTCTAGTCTGTCTGCTTTCAAGATCTTTCAGAAGTTTTACCTTAAAAGTAAAGTTCTAAATTATAATGAAGTCATATTAAAGACTCAGCTTAGATGATAGATAATGCATATTCATCTCTTATTATAATGAAAACTTTGTATATGTTTATAAATAAGCACTTATGAATTTTTAGTATTTTATTCAAATTGTGCTGTCTTTGCCTTTCAGTATGAAAATCCATGGACAATCCCAAATATGTTATCAATGACAAGAATTGGCCTAGCCCCAGTTTTGGGCTATTTGATTCTTGAAGAAGATTTTAATGTTGCACTAGGAGTTTTTGCATTAGCTGGGTTAACAGATTTGGTAAGTTATAAATTTATTCACTTCTTTCTCCTTTTCAAATTCCAGGGTATCTACAACTCCCCTGAATAGCACAGCCATAGCTTTTCTTTGGAAGGATATTCTTAACACAAGTATGATTTAATTAGTACTTTGAATAAGGACTTGTCTTTAGCTTCCATGTGAGACTTTGTATATCATCTAAGGGAGAGAGTAAAGGCTGTAGAGAGCCACAGGAGAGAGTAATCTTTATTGTTTTAAACTTCTTCGTAAAAGAAACACCCTTATTATATTCATTCAAATATATATATAATATAATAACATTATATTAGAAGTTTTTGAGAGCCGAGTACTTGCTTTAGAGGTAGAAATAGAAGTTCTGAAATGACTTTATGCCTACTATGAAAGAGTACTCTGATATGCAGCAAAACTGGAGAAGGAAGTAGTGAATTGTCCATTATGACCCCAGGGAACAAGGACATGACCTGGGAGCTTGTGGAGGCCAACAAGAGGCTGTAGTCACCCTGGTGCTGCTACAAACCCTGTGGCTGCCCTGCAGAGAAAGCCGTAGTGTGAGCTGGGAATTAGACACCTTTCTTCTTCTACTTCCTCAGCAGGTGGACTAGGAAAGAAGAGCTCTTTGATATCACTGTGTCAGTTTGGGGTGGGAAGAGTCATTTCAAATTAGAATTGGGGGAGGGCTAGAGAGATGGGTCAGCAATTAAGAGCACTGGCTGCTCTTGCAGAGGACCATAGTTTGGTTCCCAGCACCCACATGGAGGCTAACAGTTGCCTATAACTCCAGTTGCAGGGGATCCGATGCCATCTTCTGACCTTTGTGGGCATTGTACATCACAGATGCACTTACATACATGCAGGCAATATCCTCATACACATAAAATAAAAATAAATAAAATATTTTTAAAAATAAATTAGAATTGGGAAATTTTATAACAGAAGATTGTATTACTTTTGTGAACTGGCCATTGCTATCATGTATGACATTATTTGTATTTATCATTCACCTGTTTATAAAGGATTTGAAGTGGTTCATAAAATTCGATGCTTCAAGCCGGGTGTGGTGGCGCATGCCTTTAATCCCAGCACTCGGGAGGCAGAGGCAGGTGGCTCTCTGAGTTCAAGGCCGACCTGGTCTGCATGGTGAGTTCCAGGTCAGCTGGAGCTACAGGGAGACCCTGTCTCAAAAAATAAATTAATAAAATTCCATGCCTACAAAGACAGGAGAAGTGGAGTAAGAAAGGAACAGTTTCATGTGGATATTGAAATAGTATCTTCTCATGCAGGCCAGGCCTGAGAGCCACGTGAGCACCTGGATAGGCAATAATTTCATGCATCTTCAGACCAATTTGGGTTTTTTTGTTTTTTTTTTTTTTAAGATTTTGCTCAATATTTAATGGGAGTAGAAAACTGATTTTCCATAAATAAAAGTTGTATAGGACATTTTTAATGTTTGTTACTCCTTTTGAAGTTCATAGAAACAATTCTACCAGCCTAGTATCAGTAGCATCAGTGAGAAATAGTAGAATTAACTGAAGATTTTGAGGGGTAGACAAGGGCAAGCATTTGCATTCTTAAATGACATTTCCAAATATACATCAGATAATAGACTTTCAGATGACCTGTTGCCTCTTTTCCCAGAATGTAGTTCCCATCTGTCACCATCTGTTCCCTTCCCACAATCTCTTTTACCTCTCTCTTCTTTTTTAAATATTTCATTATTTTTGTTCTATGTGTATGAATGCATTGTCTGCATGTATGTATGTACACCCATGTTGTCCAATGCCCACGGAGGTCAGAAGGCATCAGATTCCCTGGAACTGGAGTTATAGGCAGTTATTAACCGCCAGGTGGGTGCTGGGAACTGAACCTGTGTCCTCTGCAAGAGCAGCCAGTGCTCTTAACCCCTGAGCCACCTCTAGCCCTCCATTTCTCTTTTGTGTCTATCTTTTTTTCTGAAGCCTGCAGGGCTCTCTCTATTACTGTGGCCTGAAGGGCTCTATTACTGTGGCCTGCAATTCTATCTGAGACCATTATACTGATAATGAGATATTTTATGTAACAGATTTTTTTCTAGGTATTGAATTCCCCTTTTATGTTTGTTTGCTAATTTGTGAGTTTTGGGGGTAGGGGTCAACTTCTGTATAAGATGGCTTTTTTCACTTAATGAGGGAGATACCTGATTAACATGCATGAGAGATGTGTTTGGAAACCTGAATTAACTGGTACTTTTTGTGCATTTATTCCATGGAGATTTTGGTGCCTTCAGTTTGACTGTTGATCAGATAGCTGTACTCATCGGTTATAAGCCGGGGGAATGGCAGGGTACAACTGGCACTGTGTATGGGCAGTGAGATATAGGAAGGCAGGGCTGGGAGCAGAGTAGCTAATGAAGGCATAGTGTAGACTGAGGTACTATTTCACCTCATGGAGTCATGGATGGGCTTAGATAATGTGTTGAAGATAGCACTGATTGTTGTTGTGTTGGGGAGGTGGGTATGAGTGAGAGGGAGTAAAATTAGAACACTAAGGTACTTTTTTTCCTCTCTTCAAAACCAGGTGTATGGAGGTAACATTTGGGGGGATGGGCAACACTTGGAACAGGACAGGGTTTAGGAGAAAATACCAAGAGTTCTGATACCTGTTGTTTGGAGTTGAGTCTATAGTACTTTCACACAAGTACAGATTGGGAACCAGCACCTAAAGGTGGTCATGCCTGGTGAAATATCTAAATGAGAAGCTGAGCCTGGTGGTGCACACCTTTAATCCCAGCACTCAGGAGGCAGAGACACGGGGATCTCAGTGAGTTCAAGGCCTGGTCTACATAGTGAGTTCGAGGCCATCTGGGGCTACAGGGAGACCCTGTCTCAAAAAGACCAAAAAAGAAAAAGAACTGTCTAGGTGAGGTAAAATCAGAGAGGCAAGATGTTAGGGATGAGCAACAAATAAAGGAACATAGGAAGCTGATCAGAGACACCACAGAGGAGTGTTCACGAAAAAGGAGGGAATTGGACAATGAAGTGTCCCAAGAGGGTAAGTGACAAAAGGACTGCCATTCTGTGAAGGTCACACAGTGTGAAAATGAAGAGTTCATTGGTGATCTGTGAGAGAACTCCTTCTAGAGGTATGGCATGATTGAGGTAGACTGGTGAGCAAATGTGGGGTGCTGAGACTGCTGACCTTTCTTTTAAGACACTGGCTTTTAGGGGAATAGAGAAAGAGGACCAAGGAAGGGTTGTTTTTAAAAATAGATGTGCTGGGGAGTATTTTACGTTAGCTGGTTACTAAAAGACCAGGTAGAAAGAGGAGAGACTGACAGAGATGGTGAAGGAGAAAGGGAAATCACAAAAGGTGAGGGCTTGAGGTTAGAGGAGGGAAGGCAGAAAGAAGATGGATGTAGCTGGGTGATGGATCTGGTGCCACCTGAGGAAGAAGTGTCAGCAGTCTTTCTGTTGTTTTCTTTAAGGGATGAATAGATGTCATGGCTAGAATGAGAAGGTTTAGGAGGAATGAAATAGGTCAGAGGTGAAAGCATACAGCATGAAAAGAGAGGGTAAAGACTGTAGGCAGGTGTAAGATTGCCAGCATTGAGTGCACACAGATTTGTGGTCATGAATTTGACATGAGATCAGTCAGCCTTTTAAAGCAGTGTTCAGTCACTTTCATGTTGGCCTGAAGCACATCATTAGTGGTATTATAGCAAGAATGAAGTACAGTGAGGGAGTTGCAAATGTTTGCAAAGGAATAGTATGAGTTAGAAGAATGATGACAGGAGGGCATTGATGGCAGAAAGTGGGATGGTAGCTTCCTCAAGAACAGAAACTACTAAAAACAGGGTCTTCCAAGGCCTCGACTCCCCATTCCAGACATTTTGTTAGCATTACTTCTAATCTACCTAAGAAGAAAATAGCCAGGCATGGTGGTACAGGCCTGTAACCCCACCATCAGAGGCAGGATGATTACTACAAGTTCTAGGCCAGTGAGGTCTATATAGTGAGTTCTAGACTACAGAGTAAGAATGTCTCAAAAAAGATGGGGTTGGGGGAGGAGGAAGAAAAGAAAATAGTCTGCTCTAATTGTGATAGTAATAGCTGCATTTTTGAGGGTTTACTAAGTGTTGAAAACTGAACAAGTATTAATCACATTAGTGCTGAAGGCGGCCAACCCTCAAGGTATGTAATGTTATCTCTGTTTTACACATGAAGAAACTCAGGTCACATAACTTGCCCAAAGTTAAACAGGTGGTAAGTGGCAGAGGGAACTCAAACCAGTTTTTTTCTGTTGTTCTGGATGGTGTGTGTGTGTGTGTGTGTGTGTGTGTGTGTGTGTGTGTGTGTGTGTGTGTGTGTGTGTGTGTGTATGTGTGTGTTTAGGTGTAGGGAATCAAACCCAGTGCGTCACATAAGCTAGATAAGCACTCTTTCCCTGAATTACACCTTGGCCCTCTAAACAAAATAAAATTGAAAATTGAAAAGTAATCTTTTAAAAGGTCAAATAATATGGAAAAGTAGTTAAGGGTATGAAAATTTAGTGTCTTATGGTAGAAAGTAATGCTTACAGGCTGTTTGGCTTAGTGAAAATAAATACATGGCTCAGAGGATGAGGCTCTTGGTCTGGACTTTGTCACTCATGCTTTTTATGAGTTTTACATGGGTTCTTTTTTAAAAAATATAATTTTATGTGTATGAGTGTATTGCTTGCATGTGTGTAAGTACACCCATGTAGTGCAGTTCCACAGAAGTCAGAAGAGGGTGTCAGGTCCCCTGGAGCTGGAGTTACAGATGGTTGTTAGCTGCCATGTGGGTGCTGGGAACCAGACCTGCATCACCTGCAAGAACAGCCAGTGTTTTTAACCACTGAGCCATTTCTCCAGCCCCCTTGTATGGATACTTTACATCTCTAAATTTATGTTTGGGTTCATCCCACATGTGCATGCTCTGAAAATAGTAAATAAGTAGGATGACTTAAAGAAAAATTAAAAGTACTATAAAAATGTAAGATTATGTTCAGACCAATTGCTGTTTTTAAAGTTAAACGTATCCTGATAAAAGAATAAGAATGTTTGGGGATAGGAAAGGAGATTTTACTGACATTTTCTGAAAGTATAGTTGTTTTTCTGGTACTCATAAACTTCAAATTATCTACTCTGTTATGACATTTATTTAAAAAACACTTCTATTTTCAGTTGGATGGATTTATTGCTCGAAACTGGGCCAATCAAAAGTCAGCTTTGGGAAGTGCTCTTGATCCACTTGCTGATAAAATACTTATCAGTATCTTATATGTTAGCTTGACCTATGCAGATCTTATTCCAGGTAAGAACACTGTCATGTGTACTTGTAAGTAACGAGAAGGGTAATGTCAGGCAGCTTAGGATTTCTCTTGACATAATTTTTGTTTCAAAAATATAATTTTCAACTTAAACTTTCTCCAACTTAAAATTGTTGAACTATTTTGCTTTTCACACTGTTTATTGTAGAATTTGTGTCCTTGTTACACTATTAGAACAGTTTCTTTATAAGATTGTTTAAAATTAAAATTGAGAGAATATTCCATAATGTTAGTTGATAATACTTTAGGATCTTTTGATTCTACGTTACATATTTTTAGTGCCTAGATAATTGAAAGTAATTTAAAATTTTCCTAAGTCTATGATTGTCTTTATTAAGTCCAGTTAACATAATCTGGCTGGAAATTCTGACTATATCTGTGAAGGAATTTCACATTATTTAGGCACTATTGTATAGTTTTCAAATCATATGTATATAGTACATTATTATACTCTAAAACTTGATGGTCTCTTGCTTTGTGTTTTGCATGTGCCTTTCTGGTTCTTCATTTTGTACTTTTAGGCTGTAGTTCTCAATCGGTTTTTCTTTCTCAATCCAGATTAATTTTCCCCCCAAAAGTTAGGGATCTGAGGAGACAAGCTGCCATAGTCCTTCAGCATCTGTCTGTTGTCGTCATTTGGTAGGGAGAGGATATTGTCACCTCATGCTGTGTAGTCTTCGTCCAGCTTCACATTCTTTTTTGTTCTAGTTTTCTAGGTTCTCAGGACAGATTAAAAAATAATGTTTTTATTTATGCATTGCTTCAAAGTTAGAATTCAGGCGTGTCTGTGCTTGGGGGGTGAAGAGGTACTCTTAGTGCAAATAAATAAACTTTAGGAAAAAAACCTAGAGAGCATTCTGTCCCGTTGATCCTTGTAGTCTCCTTGTGTGCCTCTCCTCTGTAGCGTACCTCTCACTTTTCCTGGTTACATCGTAGTATTGTTCATGCAGGTTGGCCTGCTCATTTTCTCCTTGAACACACAAATTGTTTTTGCTGTTAGGAATGTCCTGTGAGCTCTACTTAAGTAATTGATGTCAGTAGTTTTCCAAACTGGGACTTCCCTTTCCCGTTATCTTTCTTTTCACTAAGCACTCCTTTTGGTGACTGTGCCTTCCAGTCAATGGTAGCAAAGCTTTTGAAGGTTTACACATCTAAAGTGTCTTGATTCCTCCCTCCATTCAGTTGAACTGTGCATAATTTAGATGGTTATTCTCACCTAGAATTCTGAGGACTGCAGTTGGCTTCCATATTCCATTTTGTGCTGGAGAACTCTGAAGCCATTCTCATGTCTTTCATGTGATTGTTTTGCATTGAAAATCTTGAAGGATTTTTTTCTTTTTTCCCTGCTCAATTTTTTTTATTCCCTACCCTCCAAATTCATTTTCTAGCTGCTCTGGATACCCAGTTATCCTAATAATTTTAAAAATTAAGAATAGGTATTTTCTAGATTCATTACACTGTCCATAAATACCTGGACCCCATTTCTGGGTTGCCTGAGTCTTGATATCTGGTGGAGCCAGTCCTTCTATCTTGGATATTCTTAGCCCTTTCTATAGTATGTCAGTTTTTGACTCAGCTTTTCCCAGAATCAGGAGATCTCCAGGGGAAAAAAAAAAAATCTGTTGGAATTTTGATTGGGATTGTATGGAATTTATAGACTTCTTTGGAAGAACTGTCATTTTTTACAGTAGTCTAGATCACAAATGTCATGTTTGTACTGTTTATAGGTCCTGTCTAGTCTAGATCACAAATGTCATGTTTGTACTGTTTATAGGTCCTCTCTGATGTCTTTCAGACATTTTCTCCAGGATGGTAATAAACTTTTGATAGATTTATTCCTAAGTATTTGATAGTTTGTGTTGCTGCTATCAGTCGTAGCCTTTAAATTTTCATTGTGTGATAACTGCTGTTATTGATATGATGAAAATCAGTTCTGTCTCTAATGTTGACTTAGGTCTAGCAAAACTTGCTCTTGTTCTAATTATATAAATTCTGTGGATTTTAAACTGTTTATTTTAGGTGAATTGCATTATTGATTTTCTAGTATTAAAACAACCTGTAGTTCCTGGTATAAATCATGCTTGGTCATAGTTGTTCTGAAGGTAAGTGTTGGATTTGGATTGATAATGTTTTATTGAAGTTTTTATATTGAGATTGACCCGGAATACTCTTTCTCTTGTTGTTGGTTTGGTCTTCTATGGTTTTTGTTCCCATGTATTGTGTCACACCCCTCACCACCCCCATTCCAGGGCTGGGGAGTGAACCCTGGGGCCTTGCACTTCTAGGCATGTTCTGCCTCCTGCCTCTGAGCTAGATCCCCTCAGGTAGCTCATACATGTGTCCTTAGACTTGCTTCTCACTTCTTCCCCTCCCTTTGTCCCCTCCTGGTCTCTAGCTGGCTCCCTTCTCTTCCTGGTTAATCCTCTCCTGCTTTCCTATCATGTGTCTTCCATTATCCTATTTCCCACCTTAAGATGTTTTTCCTTCCCTCTCAAGAATCATCTTTCTGGATATGCAGGTGTCTCTGTGGTGCATTGAGTCCTTCTGGTCTATGCCCAAGAGTGGTATAGCGGGCTTATTATAGTTCTGTTTTCAGTCTTCTTGAGGAATCTCCTTTCCATAGTGACTGTGCAAGTTTACGTTCCCATCAGCAGTGAATAAGACCTCCTCTTTCCCCATATCCTCATCAGCATTTCTTGTTTATTTTCTTGATAATAGCCATTTTTGCTGGGTCCTTGTTTTTAATGTCAATTTTATAAGTATCCTCATAAAACAGGCTAGTCTCTTTTTTCCCTTCTATTCTTTGGCAGTGGTTATATGAGATAAGAGGGATTTTTTTTTTTTTTTCCATTTTGAATGTTTGAAAGAATTTGAGGACTCTTTAGAGGAGAGATTTGAAAAGATGATTAGTTTTTCTTTAATTGTTACAGTGTACTTCAGGTTTAATAATTCATCTTTTGTGCATTTTGTAAGTTGTGATTTTTTTCTAGGAATTTACCCATCTATATTATAAAAAAGCTATTTATTTGTGGTTACAGTTTTTTGGTGCCCCTAAGATATAGAGTATATAGTATTGGCCTCAGTTTCATCTTGATTTTTCTTCCTTTTTCTTCTTGATCAGTTTTCCCACAGCCTTGACAATTTTGTGAATCTTTTCAATTCCCACAGCCTTGACAATTTTGTGAATCTTTTCAAATAACCAACTCTGGGTTTTGACCAGACTCTCATAGATTGTTTACTTTTTTGTTAAATCTTTGCTCTCTCTCTTCGCTCCCTCTCATTCTCTTTTGCTTTCTAAACTCTCCTGTCTTTGGGTTTTTCTTGTTCTTCTTCTGGTGGATTAGCTTTGTCTAATAGAAATAAAACAGGAGCCACATATGTAACTAAACATCCTATATTAAAAACTAAATGAAATATAAAAATTTTAATGAGGAATTTTATTTAACCCACTATGTTCAAAGTGTCATTCTGAGCTAGGTGTGGTGGTACATACCTTTAATTCCAGCACTTGGGAAGCAGGGGCAGGCAGATCTCTGTGAGATCAAGGGTGGCCTGGTCTGCATAGTGAGTTCCAGGACAGCTGGGGTTACAGGGAAACCCTGATTTAAAAAAAAAAAAAAAACCAATGCAATTAGAGCATATAGTCAATAAAAGTTCCATATTACACCTTCAAAGTGAAGTGTTTATTTTGCATTTACTGTACCTTTCAATTCTGATGACCCACCTCTCATATGCTTGATAGTACATGAGCTGTTGTATTGACAACACAGCTGTCAGTGTCTCAAGTTTGTGTGTGGGTTTTTCTGCTTATATCATTTTCACTTACATATTTTTATATGTTTATGTTAGTGTGTGTTATTGTTTGGTACAGAATATATTCCCATTTTCATGATGAGTCTTTGGCCTGTCTGGTTAATAACTATTTCTTGAATTGGGAATGTGGCTCAGTGGCAGAGTACTTGCCTAGCACACACAGGATCCTGTGCTCAATTCCCAGTCTCACCAAAAATAACAGGAGCAAAAAGTATCTTTTTAATTTGTTGTCACTTTGTGATGATTTTTTTTTTTTTTTTTTTTTTTTGGTCTTTTTGAGACAGGGTCTCCCTGTAGCCCCAGCTGTCCTGGAACTCACTATGTACACCAGGCTGGCCTTGAACTCACAGAGATCCACCTGCCTCTGCCTCCTGAGTGCTGGGATTAAAGGCGTGCGCCACCACGCCCGGCACTTTGTGATGATTTTGAGGGTCTCTTTTGTTAATGATTTCAGGCTTAGTAACCATGTGTTCAAAGTGTATGCTTTTTATGATTTTGGTCTTTCAACCTGAGTACAATCAGAGTCTATAAGTGCATGCTTAATATAAATGCATTTTTAAATCTCCACGTTGACTTTTCCCTCATTTTGGTCTGTTTGTCAGTTACTGAGAGATTAGGTTAAAGATTCCTCCCCTGTGTTTTGTTTTACATAACTTTTCTTGCAATTCCAGTTATTTGCTTTGTTTTAAATTTTTATTTATTAACTTACTTGTATTTTTTATGTATATGGAAGTTTTACCTGCAAGTATGTAAGCACACCTATGCATGCAGTGCTCACAGAGGCCAGAAGAGGGCATTGGATCCCCTGGAACTGGAGTTATGGATAATTGTTAACCACATGTGGGTGCTGGGAACTGAACCCTGGTCCTCTGAAGAGCAGTCAGAGCACTTAACTGCCAAGCCACCTCTCCAACTCTGCCTTGTTGTTTTTTTTTTTTTTAAATCACGCTATTAAGTATATAAGTTAGAATTGTTTCTTTTTGACAAGTGAAATATTTTACTTTGAAATGATCTAGCAGACAGCAGTATGTTGTAAACTCACTCCAGAGATGCAGTAGGTCCTGGTGCTGGGTTGAACCCTGAAACACTGTTCAAGCATAGTCTGCACCCATATATCATTCCTGCTTAGGTGCAGACTTTCATGTTCCTTCATGATTACTGGCTTTGATTTGTGTGGCTTGGCTGCATTGTAAAAATGTGATGGTTGTTAGTTTACCAGCTAATGATTGCTGTAGAAAAATTTGCTTAATAGTTTAAAGTGCTTTAAAAACCATGGCTCACTGTTTTCTAGCCTGACTAATATAGTTGTGTGCTCTGCTAGCACCAAATGCTGTTACTTGAGCACATGAGCATTTTATCTTTGGAGTAGTGCTGCTATGGAACACTAGGCCAAGGCAGAGATTTAGTTTTGAATCTGTAATTAATTGGTGAGATTTTTGTTCTAGTTATAGAACTAATAGAATGTCCAAACTGGAGCAAATAGTAAATACAGCTTCAGATAATTCATGAGTTGTTTGAAAGTAGTATGGGAGGGATGTGTGTGATCTTTTTATTTGAGTAGTTTAAACAATTTGAGCCGAGTAGGTTTTTTTTCTTTAAAAAAACATACAGGGTTGTGGTTAAAACTTCCTATGATAGAGAAGGCTCTAAAGTGAAGTCAGTTCTCTGCCCTCTCATCGTCATTAACAAATGAATATATGGGTGCCTTGCTTACCCATCTCAAATAGCCTCCTGTTGCTGTGGCTCTGGGACCATGCTAGAAAATCTGAGGAATTGATTTGAGTATAGCTAATGATAAACAGGTCTGGATTTGATCCTAAACTTTAGGGATTAGTGATGCTCAGCTTAAAAAGTACAGTTATTCTGCCCTCTTCTGGTCTCTCCAAGTACCTGCACACACACACATACATACATACATACATACATACATACATAAATAAATATCTTTAGAAAAGTGTTTTGATTACATTTCATATTATTCGTAAATTAATGTGAAAATGTAATACTACAGTGACTATATAACAATACACTTTAAATTAGTATATTAAGTTTTTATGACTAGAACACAGTTAAGTCAGTTTTTTCCTTGTTCCTTTTAGTTTGATAAATGGCATAAAATTTAATAAATTCTGCAACCACAAAAAAAAAGTACAGTTATTCTAAAATCCAAGAAACTCTGAAATCTGAAAAACAACTTGTCCCAAGCACACTAGATAAGGGAGACTTCCTATCCTTATCAAACCTGTGATAAGAAAACTACTAAGTTGGATTCATCGAAGCCTGGGCAGGAAGAAGAATAATAGTTGCTTGGGTAGGAACTAGCTAGACAGTAATAAAAATAATTTTGTTTTCCTACAGGTTGTTATATATAAAACTCATTCTTTAGACAATAGGCTAAAATTCAGCTGTAAATAATCAAAACTCCTGAGCTTATAGAAAATTTTAACTTATCTGACATCTTTATGACCTTATCATTACTTTTCATTTAATACTAATGAGCATGGTCATCTTTTCCCTAAATTCACAAAACTGAGGAGATTGGAGGACTGGGAGGCAGACTGGGTGCAGCTCACACTGAAACTTGCAAATTTATAGCTTAATAGATGCATGAAAGAAACAAAAACAAAGAGGCAAGCAGATCAGCAAACTGGACGGCAGGTATGGTTCTAAAGCCATGGCCTGCATTCATTCTCATGAAAAGCAACGTGAAGACCAGTGGAACCCCGAACCATCAATAAGTATTTATTATAGAATCTTCACTTCCAGAAACACCAAGTAGTGAGTCTGAGTGAGGCTTTACTGTAGTCATAATGTTTGTTAGTCATTTTCACAATCTTCATTATAATTATTTTATATTTTATTTTCAGTTCCACTTACTTATATGATAATTTCAAGAGATGTAATGTTAATTGCTGCGGTTTTTTATGTCAGATACCGAACTCTTCCAACACCGGTAAGTTTCAGAAAATAGTCTTCTAGCATTACTTATAAATAAATGTTCTCTCTATTGTATACTCTCTTATTTTATGAGGGCAACTTATGGCAATTATTTCTTTATTTACTTGGAATTTTTAAAAAAATTTACCCTTCAGTTTGAACACATGAATAGTCAATTTTAAAAGTTGGATTTCTAGGCTGGGCATGGTGGTGGTCTATGCCTTTAATCCCAGCACTTGGGAGGCAGAGGCAGGTAGATCTCTGTGAAATCAAGGCCAACCAGATTTATAGAGAGTTACAGGCCAGCTATAGCTATAGGGGGACCCTGTCTCAAAGACCAAAAAAAAAAAAAAACCTCTGTGAGTTCCAGGCCAGCCAAACTACATTTCTTTGTTAAGTCTGGCTCTTCAGTTGATGGCATATGAAACCCAGCCCAGCTAAGCAGACCCTCAAGCAACACATGTTAAAGGTATTTTATGTAGCTCCAATCCTTGCATTGTCTCGTAGCCTCCACTATGGGTGATCTATAATCAGTTTTTAAAATCAGTCATGAACCTGGAGAAATGGTAAAACCAGTCTATAAATATGTGACCACATAAGTGTAGCATAGTAACTTCTGGTTCTCAACTGGGTAAAATACAACTGTATTTGTTTTTAACTTGCGAAAGAAAATAATAGAAAGTTTTCTAAGTTTATTTAGTGAAGAACATATATGTGATGAAGCAAATTTTGTGAGAGCTGTTGTTTAGAATTTTATAAACTTGAAAATAAATCTAAATTTTAAAGAATCTATTTTCCATAGCCTCCTAGTATTATTTATAAAGTATGTGAAAATCTTTCATTAACGTAATAAGGAAGATGTATATAAATTAGGGCCAGGCATATTTGGTAATCACTTAGTAACTATTGCTTGTAACTTGAATAATAAATTAAAACTTTTTTTTGTCTTCTTCCAGCGAACGCTCTCTAAGTATTTCAATCCTTGTTATGCTACTGCTAGGTTAAAACCGACACTCATCAGCAAGGTAAGAGTTATGCAACTGCCTCTTAAGAAGTTACTCCTGGGGCTGAAGAGATGGCTTAGCGGTTAAGAGCACTGACTGCTCTTGCAGAGGACCCAGGTTCTATTTCCAGCACCATTCGTAACTCCAGTTCTGGGAGAATCTAACACCTTCTTCTGATCTCCACAGGCATTGCACGACATGTGTGCACTTAACACACATGCAGGCTATACACTCATACACATAAAATAAAAATAATAAATAAAAAAAATTTAAAAAGGAAGTTACTCCTGCCAGGCATGGTGGTGCATTCCCTTTAATCTCAGCACTTGGGATGCCAGAGGCAGGTGTATCTCTGTGAGTTTGATGCCAGCCTGGTCTACATAGCAAGTTCCAAGCCAGCTGGGGCTAAAAGAGACCCTGTCTCAAAAAGACCAAAAAAAAAAAAGAGAGAGAGAGAGAGAGGTTACTCCTTTGTGAATTTTTATAATGGGTGAATAAGCCTCAGTAGAGAGCAACTGAGAATAAATGTGACTTAAAAAAATTCAGTTACATTTATTTGTTTGTTTACTTATTTAAGCGTGTGTCAGAGAGGTCAGAGGACAACTTGTAGGAGTCACTTCCTTCCGCCTGTGGGTCCTGGGAATTGAACTCAGCTTGTCTGACTTGGCAACAAGTGCTTTTACCTGTTGAACCATCTCACCAACCAAGAAATAAGACAAATTTAAATACATTGATTAACATTGACTAAAGGGATAGAGAGGGGCCAGGCAGACAACTTCAACTCAGTTCTTTTGTTTTTCTGAGTTTTTTGTCTGTTGTTGATGGTCTGAGAATTTACACTTTGAATGAGATAAGAGGGCCAGGGCAGGTTGAGAACTGAAGTGTAACTGCTTCATGGTTGGGATGCAGCAAGGGTGTGAAGAGTCTCAGGGTTTTCTTCCCTCCCTCCTCCTTCCCCTCCTTCCTTGCTTTTTCTTTTTCATCCATTCATCCATCCATTGCATGTGTCTGTGTGTAATGTGTATGCGTGTAGTGTGTGTTCACATGTGTGTGGGTGAATGGGTGATGTGCATGTACATGTGTCTGTTTGTATGTGGAGGCTGATGTCCAGAGTCTTCCTCAGTTTCTTTGTACATTGTTCATTGAAGCAAGGTCTCCCAGTTGAATCTGGAGCTCACTAGCTAGCCGGCTTCCCCATTGCTCTGGCATCACCTTCTCCATCTGCTGAGCCATCTCCTTTAGCCCTGGCCCATTCATTTTTAAGGCTGGTAAATGAAAAAGGAATAGAAGATAGTTTTATTCACTAATAAACATCTCCTCTAGTTGTCCATTCTGTTTGCCTCAGGATAATAATTGTACATCAGTCTTTGCACAGAAAAGAGATCTTATTAAAGCCCACCTTGATGTAAGTCATCTTTTCATCCTGCCCCTTGTGACAGAGATGTAACAGGTTACAGAGACTTTGGGACTGAGGAGCCATTGCTTTTGTATAGACTTCCTGGACTAGAGTGTTACTAACCTTAGGGGGAGGTTTTAGCTTCATGTGACTTGTATTTGTGTCAGAGACAGCAGATTGAATGTAGCACTCTGTAGAAAGTAGTTTGAGGTGTTAGGATACATACAGTAAATAAACCCTTGTTTTTAGAGGAAGGTTTTCAGACAGATTTTATCATTTGTATTAAGAATAAAGTGTGATCACTACCATTTGCCTGTGGAATGGACAATAGGACCAGGGTGCTTCTCTGTACCACCTCACTTAACACATCATATTAAATTTTTTTTACACAGGCTTCTGATGGTAAGGAGGGTGTCTTTAGACTATTGATAGTTCTGTTTTATGTTTTGTAGGGAGTCATTTTTTCCCCTAGAAAATTTTATGGTGATGAATACATTTCACTTTTCTGACCTCACAGGGTTTGACAAGTAGCAAGTAAAGTGGCATTGGGAATCTGCTGTAGGTGCTACTTTTGCTTGCTGTGATAAACACCATGACCAAGGTCACAATTTATTTGGCTCACGGTTCCAGAGGGACAAGAGTTCATCATGTAGGGAGGCATGGCAAGAGTAGGAAGCAGAGTATTCACATCTTCAAGCTCGTATAGAAAGCAGAGAGACAGAAACTGCAAGTGGGCTGGGGCTACGAACTCTCAGTTCCCACCTCAGTGGTATGCCTCCTCCTAACCCTCCCCAACATACCACCTGGGGACAGAGTGTTCACATACTTGGAGCCTCCTCCTAACCCTCCCCAACATACCACCTGGGGACAGAGTGTTCACATACTTGGAGCCTGTGAGGCATATTCTCATTCAAACCCCCACGTCTGCATTATGGGTTTGGCTCTCTTGTCTGCTATGACTGTCTCACAGGGCTGTTTTAATAGGCAGCTGGAAAAAAAGAGTTTTACATCATTGAATTGCTGGAAATTCAAGGTAGTAGTACTTTCTGACAGCTGTCATTACCCTCACTGTAAAGTGTAGCTGTGTAGACAGAGGGGTCAGCCAGTGTGCTGACCTGTTACATCTTCTCATGTGGGAATGCCAGTGTCGGCATGGATATTGCTGACCAACATCCAGCATGCTGAGGGTGTGTCATGATGATCTGTACCTTTCTCTCACAAGCTTGCAGCAGGATCCAGTCAGTTCTGATCATTCGTCACTCTTATTTTTAAGGTAAATACAGCGGTCCAGCTCATCTTGGTGGCAGCTTCTTTGGCAGCTCCAGTTTTCAATTATGCTGACAGCATTTATCTTCAGATACTGTGGTAAGCTAAATTTAGAATTACTCTGAGGATGTTAATACAATGGCTTATTGTGACTTCATTCTTCGTGTTTAATGAACATGGAGTAGCTAAAGCTTTGACCATATGAGCATTCCCATTCTTTTTGGACAGGGTCTCCCTGTAGCCCAAGCTGTCCTGGAACTCACTATGTAGACCAGGCTGCCCTTGAACTCACAGAGATCCGCCTGCCTCTGCCTCTCAAGTGCTGGTATTAAAGGCGTGCGCCACCACGCCCAGCTCCATTCTTTTTTTAAAATCAGAATTTCATATATGTAATGTGTTTTGATCAAATCCCCCCATTCTCCCCTCCAATTCCTCCTCTGTTCTCCCACTACTTTTCCCTCCCAACTTCATGTGCTCTTTTCTTTTATAACCTACTGAGTCTACTTCTTGCTGCTTATATGTATATGTGTTTGGGTGTAGGACCCTCTACTGGATCATAGATAGCCTCTCAGGGTCATCCCCATCACTGAAAAAAACTGACTCACCCCCCTCTAACAGCCATCAGTGGCTCCTCAGCTAGGGGTGGAGCTTCATGAGCCCCTCTCCTGTCTGTGTTAGGGGTTAATGTGTGCAGTGGCCCTATCATGTCCTGTAAATACTGTTTTGCTGCAAATGTTCACTACCTCTGGCTCTTTCTGCCTTCTCCTCTCTGATGATCCCTGAACCTTGCTGCTGGAAGGGGTGTGATAGGTGTCCCTTTACAACTGGCATGCCACAGTTTGATAAACAATCTTATCCAGTTGTGAATCCTCTGAACTACAATAGTGTCCCTTTTGACAAGGTACAATAGGGCACAACTGTTATGGTCATCACCAACCACTTTCTGATTGGCCTTAAAGCCCATTCCACAAGATGGAACTCATGCCTGGTACAGACCAAACACCCATGGGTAGCTAGCTCATAGGCCTTAGGGGAGAACCTAATACTATTACTCTGCTAAATGGACATAATAACCTGTCCTCTACGTTCCTGTCTTTTCATCAATAAATACATTAATGCATCTCTCAGCCCTCACCACAGAGATTTCTTTTTGCAGTAGATGGAGATTAAAGCAGAGACCCACAGCTGGTCAATGTGCACTACCATTCTTAACCTTGCTGTCAAGCATAGAGCATAAAAGTTAGCAGCTACAAGTTAAGAGGAATGAGAAGTAGTGCTAGTATGTTAGGGTTTCAGAGAAGGAAAAAGTACTTCCTGGTAGGAAGACAAGGGATAGCTGCCAGAAGGAAGTGGCATTTGAACCATGAGCTACAGGTGAATGTGGGCCCTCAGCAGACAGGGTAGAACAGTGCTGGGGGAGGGGATCCAGCCTAGTGGAGCTGCAGTGGGAGGACACATGGAGAAAGCACTTGGAATCGTACTTTAATATGCTAATTAATCATTTGCAAATGTCTTGAAATGTGTCAAATTCAAACTTTTAGCATTCAAAACAGGCTGCTACATTGATTTTGAATTGCATTTTGGTATACTTTTAATTTTAACTATAATTAAGATTTGTTTTTACAGTCTTGGCAAAAGTGATTGGTTAATCAAAGTAAGTTAAAATAAATACATTTTTAAGATGACTCATAGTCTAAACTTTGTTTTCTGGTATAAAATGAAGGCTTTTTCTTTGGGTTTTGCTTTATCAGTGGGAGTTCTCTCTCTTGAATAAACTACATCCATATTGTTTTGCTTCGAGGTAATAAAAAATTTTAGATGTGCCAAGTAGGCTGAGTGTAGGAACTGTCCAGATTTCAGCCATATTTCTGTAGTCTTTTCAGAGTCACCTCCAGTTTTATCTGTAGGAGTAAGTGAGGGGTTTTTTGGTCTTTTTGAGACAGGGTCTCCTGTAGCCCCAGCTGCCTAGAACTCACTATGTAGACCAGGTTGGTCTTGATCTCACAGAGATCTGCCTGCCTCTGCCTTTTGAGTGCTGGAATTAAAGGCGTGTGCCACCATGCTTGGCAAGGAGTAAATTTTTGTGAGCAAAATGAGAACTAGTATAGTATCTGCTGAAGATGACAGTTGTTAGGGCCATTACTCCTTAGGGTTTCTTAATTAGGTGGATTTTATTTAGTATTAATAATTCAAATGTAGTCATAGAGCAAAACTGTCTATATAGATTTTTGTGGTTAAGCAACTATCACATAGCCCTTCCTTAGTCAGTCTCTCACAGGTGTAGTTTATGATTCCTGCTGTTAGTGTTTTTAGTCCTGTTTGTCTCCTTCTAAGGTGTTTTACAGCGTTAACCACAGCTGCATCAGCATACAGTTACTATCATTATGGTCGGAAAACTGTTCAGGTGATAAACGGCAAGTGAGCCAACCCACCTCTTGTCAACAAGGAAGCAACACACACCATCGCCAGCAGCGTCAGCAGAAAGCGACAGGAGTTTTCTCTGTTTGGTGTCGGCTTGCAAAAGGACTTGTCAGACAGACCATGTCTTCAAAACTGAAGTGATGTACGTTGGAAAAATAAGCTTGATCATGGGCCTATGCAGATTCCCAATGTATTTTAAATACAAATAAAACTATAACGTAGAATTTTTTAATTGTAGGTTTCTTGATTAATTTATGAGATGAATTATTCAAGTTACTGTCTTTTCATGTTTTTAAAAAGCAGTTCATAATGTGGAAACAAGGGAAAGCAGTAGGGAGTTTCCTGGAATTTAATATGTAACTTCCACAGTGTGACTATACATTTTTATGTTTGATTTTTAAATCTATTTGCACACTAATAGTTCATGAGGTTAATATGTGATCATTTAAAATCACATTGACTATGGATGGAGTAAAGTTGTAAAGAGATTAAAATGCAGTAAGCCTTGAGACTAAAAAAAGAAGATCAAAATAGAAGGTATTGAAGTTCATCAGTAGTCTTCCAACCTCTCAGGTATGTATCAGGATGACAAGTAACACAGGTAGTCAAAATAAGAACATATCCATTATTCTTTGCATCTAAAAGGCAATGACATCATGCCTTTTCACTGTGTTTTTAATGTAGTGATGTTTGTATGATACTAGAACCTATATTCTTGTGTAAATAATATGAAATTGTATATTTTTCCAAAAGTTTTTTTTTTTTAACTTTAAGGAATCTTCTTTTAACATGATAAAGAAATAAAAGAACTGGAAAAAATTTGCCTTCAACTTCAGTTGCTGCATGTTGCATCATTATCTGTACAGTTGCATAAATTTTCCAATTCATACGGTCCACTCAGATGCAGCATCTATGCTGTAAAAATAACTGGCTTGGGACCACTTGACTTTAAAAGACCTTGCTACACCATTGTGTTAGGATAATGGGGGATACAGGTAGGGGCAAGGAAGAAGACTGTGGTGCTGTTTGGCTCCTCCTACTAGTGGAGGCCTTTTGCTGCCCTTTATCATCATTAATTTTTTTTAAATATTTTTATTTTATGTGTATGAGTGTATTGTCTGCATGTAAATGAGTGCACCACTGTCGTGCAATGCCGTGGAGGTCAGAAGAGGGCTTTGGATTCCCCTGGAACTGGAGTTAAGGATGGTTTTTAGCCACCATGTGAGTGCTGGGAATCGAACCCAGGTCCTCTGCAAGAGCAGTCAGTGCTCTTAACTGCTGAGCCATCTCCCCAGCCCTAACATCCTTGGTTTTAACCCATGTAATATGGAATCATACAGTGAGACCATCCAGTCACAGTCTGTTGAGCTGTGTTAAGTGGGAAGCTATTTCAGGGTATTGTGCATTGGTGCAACCCTCTGTTGCTAGGGCTGGCTTTCCTCATGCCAGAGTAGCAGCTTAGCCACCCTAGGCCTGGAGATACTAAAAACCCTGCCATTGAGTCATACAGAGGGGTAAAGGAGAAGAGTGGCCTTTGCCTAGCTATTGTCCCTGCCTGGAGTCTCCCATGCACTTCTGTAGCTGAGTAGTGCTTAGGTTTGAGGCAGAAGAACTGCTGCTGGACCGTCCAGGAGGGACACTGAAGTATTTAAGTGAGCATGTTCAAGTATATGTGTATGCATACAGATTGGCAATTTCAGTGTCTCCACAAAATACACTCATTTTTGAAGGCTAAAAACACTGGGAGGGTGTAATGATGTGTCTGAAGACAACACTAATTTGCATCTTTGGCTTTTGTAATTTTTAGGCAGGGTCAAATGCTTTATCTGGGTCAAATGCCGTTCTCTTGGCGACATGTATGATGAAATTACGGATGTACTTTAGAATTTTAAAAACCTCTTGAACACTTCACCTAGAAATGCATAGTTAATTCGGATCAAACGTGGATATGCTGGGTTTGTGCTACAACATGGTATTTGTGCTACAGCATGCTATGGAAAGACAGATGGATTCAAACTCCACCTTACAGCAGAAATATGCACTCTTGTGGGTTGAATTTTGCCCCTTCTCCCAAAAAAATCTCAGTCCCTAAACTTTCAGTGCCTGTAAATGGGACCTGTTTCGGAAATGGGGTCTTTGCAGATGAAGTCAAGTCAGGATGTGGCCATACTGGATTACAGTAAGCTTTAATCCAGTGACTAATGTCTATAATGGGGAGAAATGTTGATGCAGCCCAGAAGGCCATGAGGTGGTGGAGGTATAGCCTGCAGTGCTACCTTTGAGAACGTTCCGCTGGCCAGCAGATGAGAAGAGGCCTGGAACAATCAACCTCCATGAGGACCCATACCTACTATGGATGGTCTTGATTTCAGACTTCTGCCCAAACTGTCAGGAATGAATTTGTTCTAAGCTATATTGTTTGTGGCAATTCTTTGTGGCAGCCACATGAGATTAACAAATACACAAACTAAGAATTTGGAAATAATGCCCCTAATTATAACTTTATAGAATTGCTTTTTCCCTAAGTATACAAAAGTAAATCCAGAAATGTAAACACACCCAGAAATGCTGGCTTCTGGCTATAAAGTCCCAAGGTTTGCTCTTACCTAGTTTCCTCTGAAAACAATAAAACGTTTCTGAAAGTAAGCTTATTTTTCTTCTTGAAAAAGGAATTCACAGAGCCAGGCAGTGGGACAAACTTGTAATATCAACACTTGGGGAGATAGAAACAAGAAGATCCAATTTTGAGGTCAGCCTGGACTGCAAAGCAAGACTGTCACAACAAACCCCACACAGTTCATAGTACCTTGTCTTGGGTGAAATGCAGGAAGTAGACTTTTAAACAGTCTTCCTGTTTCACAAATGTTACCAGAGACCAGTTTTAACTGTAAAGCTGGAAATACATTGTTGATACATTCTGAAATACAACTAATACATCCAGAAGGCTTCAGTAAACATAACTTCCCTGGCAACAAGTTCTGGCTAACAGAACTCACTGTGCTAATCTAAGATCAGTGGCCAGAAGGGAACTTCCACTCAAGAAACCCAAGGATGACGTTTCTAATCTGGCAAAAGTAGTTTGGTTAGAGTTGTTAGTCCTCTTTCCGTGCACTATGCTACTGAATATTGAGGGAGACACTGCAGAAAAGCCCCAAAGAGAACACACAATGACAGGTGCCCGTGGGATTGTCTGGTGCTGACCATCAGGTTCCTGAAAACAGTCAAGTAGAAGGAACTCTGGCCTTCATTCCTTGAACAGAGAGAGAAGCAGTGTGACCGTCTGTGTGTGCCCGAGGAGTGCTGGCTTTAGGGAAATTGGAGCTCAGGTTTCAGTCACTTGACTCTCCCTTTGCATGCAGGTGTAGTTTGATTAGAAGAAAGAAGCTAGGCCAGTTGAAGGTCTGGAGCCTCAGCAGTGTAGGCAAAGGCTGGTTTGCTCTTTGATTTAGTTACTGGTGATAAATAAACCAAAGGTCTCACACGTGTTTGATTGAATGCCAGGGTTAGTAAACCCAAGGCCTTACACAAGCCAAGAAGTCACTCTACCACTGAGCTATACCCTCAATGCTGGCCGGGTTTTTGAAGGCCACCAGGTGTGTGTCATAGCCCTGCCTGGGTGGTTTCCAGCACCGCCTGCAGAGACACACAGAGAGCACCAGGGTGCTAACCAGCAGCAGGCCACAGGAGGTGCACAGTACCCAGAAGATGATCAGAGAGCTGGGCTTGGTTGTAAAGGTGGCACATGACCTCCTCCAGCCTGAAGTCTGAGGCTGGCTTACGCCAGCCCTGTTGGCTGCCAGTACACACACACGGTAAGTAGTACCTGGTGATAGCTTGTATAGAGGGTGCTGTCGGGCTGTTGCATAGATGTTCCCCACTACAGACTGGTTCCCTGATCCTCCTTCTGCAGAGTATCTAATCTGGTACCAGAGCACCACTGAGTTGGGGGCACACCAGTGGATGAGCATTGATGTATCTGTCATCTCTGATGCCTCCTGCAGCTTGGGAGGGTCTGGGACAGTGTCCTCCCCGCTGAGACCAGGGCAGCGGCACCGCAAGCGCTTCTGCAGTTCTGCACATGGGGTCTGCAGGTGCTTGCAAGGGTGGTAATCACAAGACACATCCTGGCGAGGTGCTCTCACCTGTTCCTGGGCCGCCTCCTCTTCACTGTAGTCATCTAACAGCAAGATTGGAATCTCGTCCTCTGAAGGATTTGTGTGAAGAGCCTTATGGATGGCTTGTGACATGCTCATGGGGTTTGGTGAGGTAGGCAAGGGACCAAGGTATTTGCTGGCCAGTGTAGTGGAGGCAGGTGAGATACGAGGCTCAAGGACACGTGTGGCAGCCTGTTCTAGTTGCTCTCCTCCTGCTATGCTGTCAGCCCTGGGTGGAGCTCTAGAAGGGCTATAACCTGCCATAGAGTCAATGGTGAACCGGGCATTTTCCTCTGAAGTATCACCATGCACCCATGCCCCTTGTGTGAGGGAAGCCACAGGGTAAGAAGGGGCCTTGGTGATATTCTGTTCGCCTTCCCCAGGCTGAGCAGACAGGCCTGTATTCCACCCAGTGAAGGGATCCTGGGTCCATGGTGCATAAGCTGAGTGATTAAAAGAGGTTGGGTTTGAAGCCAGGAGGGTGGTGTTTTGGTCCAACGTGCACACACCAGACAGCTGGGAAAGCGAAAGTGGGCCTGAGAAGGAGCTTTTGGATCCTGCAGCAGGTGCGCACATGGTGTCTGCTGCCCTGAAGGGAAAATCAAACATTAGAAGGTACTTGGCTTAAGGGCTGCTTCTGGGCTGAGCTTTGAATCCTCAATGTGGGTGTCCCCTCCTGCCACACCCTGCCAGCATATCTCTGCAACGTACCACCTAGTACCAATTTAGCATTTTATAGACCCAGAAAACCTCTATGTTGGGATAGCATTGATTTACCTGAATTGTGTTGGAGACACTGCTTTACCTAAACTCTGTTGAAAGCATGCTTAGCTGCATAGAGCAGTATAGGTGTGTGCTGGGGCAGAAAAAGAATGCAGTGCCCCACATTATACAAGGAAGTACCGCTCTGACCACAGGTCCCAATGCCGTTACACTTTGCTAGTTTTCATTGTAGTAAACAGATTCTTTGCTTCAAAATAACACCTAGAAATCTTGAAGTTTTCTCTGGAGTAAAAGTCACATTTTTTTGCCCTGCCTATGCAAAATTACAGCAATAATTACATGGTAGAACAGAAACTCAGAGCCTCTCTTTCCTTAGCAGAGAGCTCCCTGGTTCCCCACTGTTGAGAGTCTACTTAGGTGCTGTGTGTTTCCTTCATGCTAAGCTGTCCCTCTTTGGAGGATTCTCTGAATGCCTTGCCATGCTGGATATAGCACCTCTGGAGGAAGCTCCCCTCATCCCACTAAGCAGAGAAGGAGGAGCTAATTGCCCAAGATGCTTTGGTAGCAAATGGCAGAGCCTAAACCTGGGCGACCACTGTGAAGTAGGAAGTTATTCCCACTTTATACATGAGGTGGGAGAGGCAGGGTGTAAGTAACTCAGCCATGTCTACAGTAGGAAGTGGGACAAAACCAGATTCTGGCTCTGGCCTGCACTCTCAATCTCTTATTAACACCATACTAAGACCCCTAACTGCCAAGGAATTTGGTGCTTGCCTTTGGAAGCAAAATAGGGAATGCAAGTGAAGATGGGCACAGCACAGCTGGAATTTTTGGAGGGTGAATTCCCTGAAAGGGGCAATTAGCTGGTGGAGGTAGTTTGAGAGCACTCAGAGTTGGGGATGTCCTTAGATCCCTGCTCCCATCTGGTTCTAGCCTGCTCAGAGAGGAAAGGAAGTGGGTTAAGGGAGCAGTCAGCTTGTTGCTGTCTAAACAGCTGTACCGTGCCCCCATTTTACAGAAAAGGGACAAGTCAAAACAGGTGAGGTGCTCGATAAACTCACTCAGTTGCTGGCTAGAGGAGTCAGGATCCATCTCCCTCTATATCTATGCCCTTAACCACTTGGCCCTCTAAACACCCAAGATAGAGACTAGCTTTCTGGCTCTGGGTCATTCAGCCCAAGCCTATTATAGAGCTCTCTAATAGGGCAGCAAAAGAATTCTCTCTTCTTTAAAAGAAGATTTTTATCTGTTTTTATTTTATGTGAATGAATGTTTTTCCTGCATGTATGTTAAGTGTACTATGTATGAGCAATGCCCGCAAATGGTGTCAGATCACCTGGAACTGGAGTTACAGATGGTTGTTAGCTATCATGTGGGTGCTGGGAACTGAATCTGGTTCCTCTTAAAGAACAACC